AGTGTGAAGTGCTTACCCGCCTTTTAGTTTAACTTTTAGGATTAGTTTATATTTCTACGTTAGTGAAATACACACTATAGTATTTAGTTTTAGTCGACATTAAGTATCTAGCTCTACGTATATTCATCCCAGACTTGAATTCTTTGTGCTTATCATTTTTACGTTATGGGAAATTATTGTTACTATTTTGGATCTATTACATCATTTAGCCGCCTCTTGTGCTCTTTTCTTTATTGAATAATGAAATCCTCCTATTAGGAAAGGGAATGAAATTTATCCCTAATCCAAAACGTAGTAATATACGAAAACAAATATTAATGGATTTTAACGAGTTAACTAGAAAAATGAGATGTAAATTCCCTTACTCAGGAAAAAACAACAACAAACATATTCATCCATTATATTTGCAATCGGTGCATATACCACCCAGGGGAAATGTTGCCCTAGAAAATTACTTAGTTGACACAAAACTAGATATATCAAAACTGGAGGTTAAACAGTTTAGAGACAATTTGTCAAAATTAGAACGCAAAGCTCTAATAGAACTAAAACATAATGATAGCATTTATATATCTAAAGCTGATAAAAATAACACAACAGTGATTGTAAATAAGATCGATTACATCAAAGCAGGAACAAGTCACCTTAACAGTAATCATTACTTGAAAATAAATGAACTAACTACTAACGTTGTTGTCAAATCTATAAAAGATATTGTTGAAAATCTATATAGGAAAAAAGAAATAGATTCACAAACTTATAGTTTCTTGAAGAATAATAACGAATCAAAACATGGACACATGTACCTTCTTCCAAAAATACATAAAATCAATCTAGAAATAATTAATGAGGCATTTCGAGATGGTCAAATAGTTGGGAACATAAACATTCCTTACCGACCAATCATCAATAAGTGTAACTCTCCCACAAGAGGCATTGAAAGATTACTGGATCTAATTTTAAAACCATTATTGAAGAGGCATAACTTTTACATTCAAGATACAAAAGACTTCATTAATAGAATAGAGTCACATGAGGTCAAGAAAGATTGCATTCTTATTGCCTATGATGTAACGTCAATGTACACAAATATGAACATTGATAACTTAGAAGAATCATTTATCAATGCATTAGAATCAATTGACACACAAGAATATACTTTAAAAATTCCCAACAAAAAAGATTTAACGGCATTTGTTAAATTAATACTAAGAAACAATGAATTTGAATTCAATGGACAATTATACAAACAAATTATAGGAGCGCCTATGGGTGATATATTTTCTCCGACATGCACAGATTTACATCTGTCTGTACTATTAATAAATATTTTAGATAAGTTCCAATGGAGAGAAAACATCAAATTACACTGTCAATACAGAGATGACGGTTTTATGGTCTTCACAGGCACATTAAAACAGGTTGAAGATTTCTTTAACATAGCGAACAAAATTGACCCTCTACTTAAATTCACATTTGAGGTGTCTAGTTCTAGTATGACCTATTTAGATACCGAAGTGTACAAAGGTGAAAGATTCCATAATAATAACATCCTTGATGTAAAATCACATATTAAAAAAACTGAAACGTATCAATATTTACCAATCACTAGTGCACATCCGAAACACACATTCACAAGTATTACAGTGTGTGAATCTATACGTCATATAAGAAATAATAGTGACATCAATGAGTTAGATAGACATTTAACTAACTTACAAGATAAGTTAGTTGAAAGAGGATACTGTATCAATAAAACAGAGAATGTTATTAGAAACGTTAAAAATACCACAAGCAGAAAAACAACTTTATTGACGGCCGACAGGACAAAGAATGTTCTACTCACTCTCATTACTAAATATAATCCAATGGTAAAAAACCTTAGTAAGGTTATAAGAAAACATTGGAGCAATCTGCAAAAAGACAAACAATGTAGTGAAATCTTCACCCAGGTGCCTATCATAGCGTATAAACGTAACAAAAATATCAAACAATACCTTGCTAAATCAAGGAAATAGTTGGGAGACTTTTGAAAAGGGACCCATGCTTTAATAGTATAAGCAAAAAATCCCGAAACACTGTTAATTATTATCTTAATTATAGGCAACAAACTTTCATATCAATGAAATTTAAAAAAAAACGGTGTAAAGTCGAGATTTATTACTTATGTTGGTTGAAGGAACCACATTTCATTATAACTATATTTAGTATGTGCGTACCTTGCAAGGTCCTCATGCTCCTCCGAAGTTTGTATCCATCGACAAACATGGCTGCCATGGCTAAAAATAGAACATAAGGGTCAAACGCAGTTTTTGGCTTATATCTCAAAAACTAAATCTTTTAGAGCAAATGTGACATGGGGTAAAATTGTTAATTGTTCAAGATCTATCGGCCCTGAAATTATCAGACGAATCGAACAACCCATTGTTGGGTTGCTGCCACTGAATTGGTAGTTTTAACAAAATTTTGAAGTTTTTTGTTATTATTTTGAATATTATTATAGATATATATAAACTGTAAGCAGCAATAATGTTCAGCAAAGTAAGATCTACAAAAAAGTTAATATGACCAAAATTGTCAATTGACCCCTTAAGGAGTTATTGCCCTTTAAAGACAATTTTACACAATTTGTTCATCAAGTTTGCTAACATTTAAAAATCTTCTCTGAAATAGAGGTGAGCGATTCAGGCTCTTGAGAGCCTCTTGTTATGGTTCATTGGTCAATGTTAAGTTTTCTTGTTTAAGACTGTTTCTTAGAAACAATAAGCAATAGGTCAACTATGTTTGGTTTATTGAATGATTGTAAGGTGTACATGTATTTCTCGTTTGGTTTATCTGACCTTGACCTCATTTTCTTGGATCATGTTAAGTTTATGTGTTAGTACTGTTACTTGTAGTAAAGCTTTGTATTTAGGACTATAAACACAAAATCAACGGTTAGTAAAGAAGGCGAGACATTTCAGCGTGTGCACTCAAGATTGTGTTCTGTAAATAAAGAATTTTGATAATAATATAATTAAGTTTTTTATCTTATTATTTTCTGTTTTTCTAAATTTCCTAATTGTTATGCAATTTATATATGGCATCATCAACAATTTTAAAAAGGAAAGCAGCTTTTAATTATTAAAGCAAATTTTACAACTCATAGAATAAATGCATTTTTATGAAACTCTGGCTGAAGTAAAACATATAAATATTTATTTTTTTTCTATAATTTACTTATAAATGGACATGTTGGTTTTTTTTTTGCAATAATAATTAACATACAGTTTTGATGTAGATTAAATAAATTTTGACATCAATAACTTTGTCAAACCTTCATGGAATGTTTTGAAACTTGAACAGAAGCTTCATCAAGGTTGAGAAATATCATATGAAGAAAAAGTTGGATTTAAAAAAAAGTTACTTTGCACTATATAATTCATGAAAATTTCAATAAGAAGACTAGATCTTTAACTGAAAAAACTTAGAAGTTAAAAGCTGATAAATCATTTACAAACTTAATATCTTAGCTTCTCAATGCCACACAATTAAAGTAGAAAAGATATATATTGTCTCTGTACTATATGTTGCACTCTAATTAATAACATATTATTGATGCAATGGTGTGAAAGTCAGTTTAATTAATGGTTACTTCTTATAAGCACGTACATTCCAATGAAATATAATGTATTTTTCTTGTAAATTTCAGTAGAAAATTATTTTTTTTTAGAAAATACATGTGTATCTTGTAAAAAACATAAAAATTCTAAATACTGTAAAATTCAGATGATTTTTGTCAACCTGGGACTTTTGTCGCAAAAGCGAGGCATAGCAATCCTATACATTCCGTCGTCAGTGTCCACAAATATTCACTCTGTGGTTAAAGTTTTTGAAATTTTGATAACTTTCTTAAACTATCTTGGATTTCTACCAAACTTGGACAGAAGCTTGTTTATGATCATAAGATAGTATCCAGAAGTAAATTTTGTAAAAAAAACCTGTTTATCCGTATTTTGCTTATAAATGGACTTAGTTTTTCTGCCAGTTAACATTACATTCACTCTGTGGTTAAAAGTTTTTGAAATTTTGATAACTTTCTTAAACTATCTTGGATTTCTACCAAACTTGGACAGAAGCTTGTTTATGATCATAAGATAGTATCCAGAAGTAAATTTTGTAAAAAAAAAAACCTGTTTATCCGTATTTTACCTATAAATGGACTTAGTTTTTCTGCCAGTTAACATTACATTAATTCACTCTGTGGTTAAAGTTTTTAAAATTTTAATAACTTTCTTAAACTATCCTGGATTTCTACCAAACTTGGACAGAAGCTTGTTTATGATCATAAGATAGTATCCAGAAGTAAATTTTGTAAAAAAAAAATCCTGTTTATCCGTATTTTTCTTATAAATGGACTTAGTTTTTTCTGCAAGTTAACATAACATTCACTCTGTGGTTAAGTTTTTAAAATTTTAATAACTTTCTTAAACTATCTTGGATTTCTACCAAACTTGGACAGAAGCTTGTTTATGATCATAAGATAGTATCCAGAAGTAAATTTTGTAAAAAAAAAATCCTGTTTATCCGTATTTTTCTTATAAATGGACTTAGTTTTTTCTGCAAGTTAACATAACATTCACTCTGTGGTTAAGTTTTTAAAATTTTAATAACTTTCTTAAACTATCCTGGATTAGAAGCTTGTTTATGATCAAAAGCTAGTATCTAGAAGGAAGTTTTGTAAAAACTTATTTCCTGTTTTTCCGTATATTACTTATAAATGGACTTCTTCCAGTTAATAACATAAAATACAGTCTGCAGTTAAAAGTTTTTAAAACATTTATTAGATTCATAAACCATCCTGGATTTTTACCAAACTTGGACAGAAGCTTCTTACAATCAAAAGGTAGTATCTAGAGGAAAATTTTCTTTCCCCATTTTTGTTGAGCCTGCGACTAACAGGAAAAGTAGGCGAGACACTGGGCTCCGCAGAACCCTTACAAATTTTTATTTATTTTCAGAGGAATAATGGATGAAGATTATGGTCATATGTTTGGTGGGGAGGAATATTTAGATGATGATGGTTTTGATGATGACATCATTGATTATGATGATGGGGATGCTGGAGGAGATGACCTTGACCTTGGTTCTGAAGAGGATGCAGAGTCTCAAATGTAAGTTACATACTGTGGATTCATTTTTATTCATGGGGTACATGTTTTAATTTTTGTGGAGGCTGGTATGAAGAATTTTCCACACCACAAAATCTAGTATTGACACTTATACAGTTTTTAACCGAGTTTCAGAAGGAAAATAATGGTTATTAATTTGGTGATGTATGGCGTGCAGATGGCTGCCAAACAGTTTCTGTGACTAAACATGCTAAATGAAGGTCAAGTTTGATTTTCATGATTTTATCTTTTATCGTTGTTGAGTTGTAGACCTTTAAGTAGAAAAAAGTTATACTTAGAGGGTTGTCCATGCAATAACTTGAAAACGCTTTGAAGAAATCTTTTCAAATTTAGATATTGTTTCCTGTGACTAAATGAAGGTCAAGTTCAATTTTCACGATTTTGGCTTTTTTTGTTGTTGTGTTGTATACCTTTAAGAAGTGAAAAGTGGTACTTAGATAACCAATAGGTTTAAAAGTTCAAGAAATGATAAAATCAAGTAGCCCAGGGCTTCCAAAATTTCCTGATGACAGCCGGACATTTTTCAAAGAAATATTTTAACGGTCAATGATCAGCTGGATACTTAAATGTAACTGAGAGGATGCATAAATTGATATATGTGTCTAAATAATTAGTAGTGTTATATGCAATAAAATTATTTATAACTGTTTTGTTTTCTTCATTCTAAAAATAAATAAAATATTATCCTCGGTATTGTGTCATTTTTCTGTGTATCGTAATACAGTAACCATCATTTTATCAATCAGCTTCAGTACCTGACTGTTCTCATGTTTTTGTTTCTGTTTATATAATCTATCTTCTCTCTGTGAGTACTTTTAACACTTTGTATATTAAGGGTATCTTATTTGAAACTGTTGATGTTGGCTTTAATTGCAGTACAACTTGATCATCAATACACGTGATACTTTTCTTTTTGTGTATTGATTACCTGACGACGTGACTTTTACAACTGATGCGGTACGGTATTTATAGATAACATTGAGGAGGCCCAATGAAGGATATTGTTTTAAACCGTGTAAAATCTACTGAACAGTAATAACATTTTTCTTTGTACAATTTCCCAACCTGATTTAGAAAATAAGAAGAATAAATAAAAACATACTCAGTTGATAAATAATTTAAACTAATTTTCAGTTCACCAGCTTTGAGGTTTGATAAGTACAAAATTAAATGTTTTTGTGTAGCCAGATCAGTTGACTTGTCGATCATAATTCCCACGGCGGGACTTAACTTTACGTCGGACATCACCTCTTTCTCTATAATATCGGAAATTGTCTGAATAAATTCGGAGCAGGCATTGTTCTCTTGATGTAATTTAGAAGAGATCACGGCACCATTTAACTTAGTTAAATCATTTATTGACTGAAATTTGTCCATTGGTAAGTTTTCTTTAGCAATAAAATGATAAAGTAAGCATTACGGAACAAGGTGCACATTGCGTTGTCAGTCTTTTCATGAACTTTCTCAAATACTGATACAATTGGATTACTTTTGGAAGCTGTCTCTAATTTAAGAGCTTGAACGTGGTCATTGCTATTAGCATGCTCTACAACGGCTGACTTTCGAAAAGTTATTTTTAAGTTTATGTTTTTGACAAATGTCACAAAACATGGCATTTAGCATACTGTCAAATCTTAACCATAAAAACAGTTGTAACCATTTATGAATAAAGCTTCTAGCATTTTTAGCAGATTTCGAATTTTGATCGGAATCGTCACGTTTACGTTTGCCCATGATGGCAGATTTGTAAAGTTCAATTTGAGACAAAGTCTTTATAACAGTCGGAGATTGTCATGATTGGATATTCTTCTTTATGATTTCAATTATAAAAACAGTTTTTAATATGAAAACAAGAATAGAGAACGCCCCCCCCCCCCCCCCCCCCCTTATTTATTGGACAACTCAGCTATTCTCGGTGTTTTTTCTATATATTTCAATAAATTTTCCCTTTTAGAGTACCCCAGTATTTAACACGATGTACAGTGTTAAATAAAATAATATATCATACTTATTCATTTATAAATAGCCTTATTTGAAGAATAACTTTTAAATATCAGGATACTTTTTTAAACTGAATGCTCATTTAAAATAATATCTATAAAGCGTAATTAAATAGGATGTTGTTCCATGCACGCTTACATGTTTGACCTCGTTTACCTGATCACCTTTATGTACAGTGTTACGCATCATTAATTCTATTGATAAAGACAAGCTATGGACAACTCATCAAAGGTTACAAACCTGTAATCAGTGAATGATTTATGGCTTCAATATAACTTATTGAAGGGATAATTGTTTGACAGCTTGTTGTTATTTAAATAAAAGAAAACGTGTTTTTTCTACTTTTTATTGATGTACACAAGCTAAAGACCAAGCGGTACATTTATGTACCCAGAGGATTAGACTAACTGAGACACTTCAAAGTATCTGAAATATGCTGCATCTGTTTTATTAAACCCAATTATGACCGAAATATCTTCGTGAAATAGATTGCCACAATTATAAACTAAAATGCTAAAACGGACATGCCCAAAGCCCCAAACGGACATTTTTATCGATCGATAGTTGGTAAAAAATAAAATGACCGTTTTATGAAAATGCCTTGAATAACAAAAAGTGGCAAACCAATTCTATTTGACCGTTTGAGGCTGAGAGCAGCCGGACTTTTTATGAAAGTTTCGGTCAAGTCCGGAATATATGACCGTTTTGGAAGCCCTGAAGTAGCCATTTCTGAACCCTACAAAATGTCAAATTTTTTTTTCTTGATCCTGTTTTGTTGTGCAGATAAATTTCAAATATCATTTTCATGCAGGAAAATCCAGTTTGTTGTCAATCTGACAGCCTCTTTTGTGCCTCAGTTCACATAATTTTGTACCCACAAAAAAAAGAAGCTTGATAAATCACTCTGAAAATATTTCAGGACAAAAATATCAGGGAATAAGATATCAGCGAAATAAACCAATAAACTTTAAACATATCTACATCTTATGGTATTTATTTGATATAAATCAGTCATGTAGTTACTTGGTAATATTTTTTTGAAAAATATTAGCTTTAGTTGAAATGATAGGACATTTTTTGAGTGGGAACTCACTTTTGTCCAATGACTGTGCATTCTCAACATGTGTGTTATCTTACAGCATGGAATAAAATAAGTACAGGTAATACAGCCAGTACACTAAACATCATAGGAAAATTGCATATAATGTGTGCTGCAAATTACATATATATTTAAGTTTTTATTTTGTTGAGGGTAAATTTGTTCATTTTTTTCAGTGAGGAACCAACACCTGAGTTACTAGAAGAAAAGATCTCCAAAAAAGAACAGCTTCATATGATCCACTTACGTGCCTTACTGAATGAAATGACAGAGAAAGTAAAACACCATCAATATCTCACAGAAAAAACTAGGTAGGAAATCTAAAGTAAAACACCATCAATATCTGACAGAAAAAACTAGGTAGGAAATCTAAAGTAAAACACCATCAATATCTCACAGAAAAAACTAGGTAGGAAATCTAAAGTAAAACACCATCAATATCTCACAGAAAAAACAAGGTAGGAAATCTAAAGTAAAACACCATCAATATCTGACAGAAAAAACTAGGTAGGAAATCTAAAGTAAAACACCATCAATATCTGACAGAAAAAACAAGGTAGGAAATCTAAAGTAAAACACCATCAATATCTGGCAGAAAAAACAAGGTAGGAAATCTAAAGTAAAACACCATCAATATCTGGCAGAAAAAACAAGGTAGGAAATCTAAAGTAAAACACCATCAATATCTCACAGAAAAAACTAGGTAGGGGATCTAAAGTAAAACACCATCAATATCTGACAGAAAAAACTAGGTAGGAAATCTAAAGTAAAACACCATCAATATCTGACAGAAAAAACTAGGTAGGAAATCTAAAGTAAAACACCATCAATATCTGACAGAAAAAACAAGGTAGGGGATCTAAAGTAAAACACCATCAATATCTCACAGAAAAAACAAGGTCGGAAATCTAAGTTAAAACACCATCAATATCTCACAGAAAAACAAGGTAGGGGATCTAAAGTAAAACACCATCAATATCTCACAGAAAAAACAAGGTCGGAAATCTAAAGTAAAACACCATCAATATCTGACAGAAAAAACTAGGTAGGAAATCTAAAGTAAAACACCATCAATATCTGACAGAAAAAACTAGGTAGGGGATCTAAAGTAAAACACCATCAATATCTGACAGAAAAAACTAGGTTGGAAATCTAAGTTAAAACACCATCAATATCTCACAGAAAAAACTAGGTAGGGGATCTAAAGTAAAACACCATCAATATCTCACAGAAAAAACAAGGTAGGAAATCTAAAGTAAAACACCATCAATATCTCACAGAAAAAACTAGGTAGGGGATCTAAAGTAAAACACCATCAATATCTGACAGAAAAAACTAGGTAGGAAATCAAAGTAAAACACCATCAATATCTCACAGAAAAAACAAGGTAGGAAATCTAAAGTAAAACACCATCAATATCTCACAGAAAAAAGAAGGTAGGGGATCTAAAGTAAAACACCATCAATATCTGACAGAAAAAACTAGGTAGGAAATCTAAAGTAAAACACCATCAATATCTGACAGAAAAAACAAGGTAGGGGATCTAAAGTAAAACACCATCAATATCTCACAGAAAAAACAAGGTCGGAAATCTAAGTTAAAACACCATCAATATCTCACAGAAAAAACAAGGTAGGGGATCTAAAGTAAAACACCATCAATATCTCACAGAAAAAACAAGGTAGGGGATCTAAAGTAAAACACCATCAATATCTGACAGAAAAAACAAGGTAGGGGATCTAAAATAAAACACCATCAATATCTCACAGAAAAAACAAGGTCGGAAATCTAAAGTAAAACACCATCAATATCTGACAGAAAAAACTAGGTAGGAAATCTAAAGTAAAACACCATCTATATCTGACAGAAAAAACAAGGTAGGGGATCTAAAGTAAAACACCATCAATATCTCACAGAAAAAACAAGGTCGGAAATCTAAAGTAAAACACCATCAATATCTGACAGAAAAAACTAGGTAGGAAATCTAAAGTAAAACACCATCAATATCTGACAGAAAAAAAGAAGGTAGGGGATCTAAAGTAAAACACCATCAATATCTGACAGAAAAAACTAGGTAGGGGATCTAAAGTAAAACACCATCAATATCTGACAGAAAAAAACAAGGTAGGAAATCTAAAGTAAAACACCATCAATATCTGACAGAAAAAACAAGGTAGAGGATCTTAAATATAACACATTCATTAATTTTAACTAGGAAAAAATAAGAATCAATAAAATATAACAAATTAATATATTACATTAATATGCTACAATGTTTTGGTACTTTTCAAAGCACAAGAATACTACTTTAAAAAAAATTGTGTGAATACTTTTGTACCGGTAATGGAAATGATATCATAAGAAAGCAAAAATTGAATTTCATGAACATGTGGGAATATGGAAAAATGAAAATGTATCCAATCAAATCACTTCTCAGGCAAAAGATAGTGGAATTAAACCACAAAAAAAATTAATTGCTTATTCTTTTTTAAATACATCTGTACATAAGGAACATATCTGTATTTATAGCTATTTTTTTTTATTAAAGAGAAGAAATGAAGCAATGTCGATCAAGAATGAGTCAGTTAGAGACAGAAAGAGACCAAGTGTTTGGTCACATACAGTCTGCTGATTCAGATGGCAACACGTAAGTATATACAATAAAATCACTTTATCTTTAGAAGTAAAAGTGTTCTGTTTAACTTTAGTGGCTTGTATTACTACACCAACATATCTACATGATAGATTTAAGAAGATGTGGTATGAGGGCCAATGAGACAACTCTCCATCCAAGTCACAATTTGTAAAAGTAATCCATTATAGGTCAAAGTACGGCCTTCAACATGGAGCCTTGGCTCACACCTAACAGCAAGCTATAAAGAGCCCCAAAAATGACTAGTGTAAAACCATTCAAATAGGAAAACCAACGGTCTAATCTATATAAAAAAGAGAAACACTTATGAACCACATCAACAAACAACAACCACTGAACATCAGGTTCCGAACTGAGTATACTTCCAAGTACCATGTGTTACTATCATAAGATAAGATACGATAAGATAATTTTATTAACCAATCATGGTGCCCTAAATTTGACCTATACAATCAAATAAATTACAAAATAAAGCACAGTAAATGATTAGAATGATTAGAATGATTAAAGTACATTTAAAACGCTCATAAAATTTACCAGATTACATTCACAATGCTTATATTACCTATAAAAGGACAACAAATTATTTAAACTCCAACATCCTCCTGAAGTTAATGAAATGTATTGAGTAAAATTTATTTAACTTTAGATGGACCATTTCGTTTGTTTTTAATCATAATTGTCTTTTTATATATATGTTTAGGTCAGCTTTATATAGATTGAGAGACCAGCATGCTAAACTATGTCAGGAATTAGAAGATGAAAGGACTTTAGAAAAAATGATTCAAGACAGACTAGAAAATGAAGAGTAGGTTATTTTAACAGATGTTTTTTTTGTTTTTTTCATTTATATCAAGTGATAGAACTAGATTACAGATTTATTGTAACCAGAGTCAGTCATGTTCAGGTCTTAATTGAAGACTTGTAAGATGATATGTCAAAATTTCTTAAAATGCTGTTCATATCTACTGATTTATTGCCACTTAACTGTAGATTTATATGTTTGAGTTCTTTTAATTGCATGAGGTAAGGCCAACTAAAATTAATTTGTAGATTTTCATCCAACTTTTTGAGAGAAAAAATGGGGCGAGTGGGAGGATTTTAATTTTTATTTTCTACGCCACCCTTTCGTAATGTATTCTTCATATGCAAGGGTTATATTAAGCTTATATCAAGTATATATATACAGAATTCTACACACTTTTTTCAAATTTTAAAATAAATATTTCTGATTGGAATCACTGTAGATTTAGAAACCAATTTTCAGTAAATAGCAAAACATGAGGAGAAATGCTCTCTTTTAGACTGCCTACATAAACTTTATTTTGCTTTCTAAGCCTAGCCTATGGTTTATTGTGCCCATAAAATAAATACTAAATGTACATGTATGCATTGGTATGAAACACAAGTATTATGAGTAGAGTGAAATGAAAACTCAAATTGTGTTGAAAATACTAGGTTTGATTGCTTTAAGATTGCCAACAAAAAGGGACAGTTTTGGGGTAAATCTTGCTATATATGTTGGCGAACTTTTTGTTCTCCAGTCAATGTGATTAATTGATTGTTGGTTGCTTAACAGCCATGGCAAATATTGCATGCATGTTCAGGATGAAAACATACAGTTGGTATGTCCAGTAATAGAGGCCGTCCGGGATGAAGTTCTGGAGAATTTAGACTGCCACTTGAAAATGAGGGTATATTGGATAGGCATAGAAACAGTGTTCTAACAAGGCCCTTAAATGACCATGGGCCTGCGATGTATAATTTTTGACCGTGGTGGTATAGGTCATATCGCGGTGTATAATTTTTTTCTGTGGTGCTAAAATTTTCAGTAAAAAAATCGTAAATCGGTAAAGTTTTAAACGATTTGTTAAATCTTTTCCTTGTGGTATAAAATTCCAGGTGAAATTTGACCAGTTCAAACCAGTTCAATGCAGATTGTTTACACCACATGATCGATTTACCTTATGAGGTTAACCTTGTTGATTGGATTTAATCGATGTAATTAACACTTGTTACATGATTCTTTTGTGTTTTAATTAAGAGATCATATAACTTTATGATCACAGATAACTATTTTATGGCTTCACTCACCACCCAAGCGCTGACCTGTGACAAGTTGGCAAATATACTTTGTACACAAACAGTGTGGATAGTTTTACACACACCGGTACATTTTTTGTACAAAATAAAGTCATTTTTACGTATAAATGACAATTATACATTTCTCAATTCTTATATTATAGTATTATATGTCTGATTAAACCATGGCCAAAATTAAGTTTAAGTTTAAGTATGACATAGTTATTGCATGATAGTCGGGTATCAAACTATCATAGTATCTGTCAACAGACGGACATTGTTCATATCACATGACCCAGTTAGTTCACATAGAATATTCAAGTTTATTTACAATTAATTGCAATATATTCTATGTTATAAATAAAATGCATGACTGTACCTTCAAACTGGATATCTATATCCACAATTAATGAATAACAGAACATGCAGAAGTAATCTAGCAAATATTATCCATAAGCACATGTTAAATCTATTTATATCTACTTCCTGTCGTTGAGGTGGGAAAATAGGGAGACTTTGTTGTTGACATTGGATATGGTTATACTTATAGATCTATAGACCTAAGATAAATTAATAGATTTAGGAATTCTTTTTAAATGGATCATGACAAATATAAAGATTTAGATTTCAGTGCTGTATTTAGTCTGTATCTATCTTTTTTACCAATAATTTTCTGACTCAATGTCTACATAACATAGTACCACAGTATTAAAACAAAACAAGAGACATAAAAACTGCAGTAACTAGAAATATAGCTAAGCGACGCGACGCGACTGATTGTATGAATCATTTCACCAAGCTGTCCACACACGTTACCCTGGTGCTATAAAAAAATCCTGGGGAGAACATTGATAGAAATATTGCCTTGCAACAGGCCACCTACATACCCTCACAAAGTTGTTACAAGGGTTCTTATTGTGCAGTGAGCATGGCACTCTTTCTTCACAAGGCATCAGATTAAACATCTCCATTCTGATCAGACGTGGCTGCGTACTTGTACATCCTGCAAGCCAAGTGGACACCCAACTTTGGCAAGGGTTTTACTGCAGGTCGGAAGAAGACCTGTAGTGTCCATATTTCTTTTCCCCTGGAAAACCCTTGGCCGGTTCTCAAGTCAATATACAGTCCTAAGCAGTGTAAATTGTATAGCACAAGATTGTTTGGGTCAATTTCTTTATTCCAATCATGTTTTACACCATGTGTGTCATGATTATTACGCTTTGAATAGCATTCTCAGTCCGAATTTTCTGACACAAACTCTTTGTATAAATAAAAAAAATACACGTTTTTGTAGTCACTGAAATTTGTGACATACGGTGAGTAGCATTCTTTGACACGTTTATTACTCACACTCGAACACATCAAGCCTTTCCCGTAATTAATCTCTGTTCCTGGAAGATATTGACTGAATTATTTTGGGGTAAATTACTTAGAAGAAATACGAAATCCGAATTTTGTAACAGGAAGTTTTGAATGAAACGAAGTTGTAAGCACTGTTAATGATAACAGACATGAAAAAAGCTGGAAATCGTAATTTTTTTTTAAATAAAAAAAATCTGGGGGAGGGGGGGGGGAGGATTTCAGAGGGACGGGCGGGATGAAAATCTATCAATTAATTTTAATTGGCCAAATGGAATTAATTTCAGTTTCTAAATTTGGCATAAAGATAACATGCTCAGAAATGAATTTTATATGTGACATCATGGAAAATTGCAATTATGTTGCTGTAAAACATTTATAGATAAGTATGGCTTTGTTAAGGAGCTACATGTACTAGCTTAATTCTATTTTCAATTTTCAGTTATAAAAATATACTTGCTCTCAAAAAGTTCCTTTCAGCATTAAAGTTAGTTGCGTATAATTCTTAGGATTGTTTTGAAACTTTTATGTTTTTATGATGCTTAAAAAAACTATTTTCTTTTCCCGCTATTTTCATTGGACAAATGTATAACAATTGATACAAAACACAGCTGAATTATAATAAAATCCAATGTTATACAGATATGAACTAGCCAAAGTTGAGGTAGAGAGAGGTAAATTTTTACTGGCAGAAGATGAACTTGTAAAGAAAGAACATCAGTTAGCAACAGAAAAAACAGACATGGCTCTTGACAGGCTTAAGAAAGAGGAATGGAAAGTTAGGAAGGCTATACATCACAGAAAAAGTAAAGAAAGGTAATGAAAAAAGTTTAGATGTGCATTTTGGCATTTACTTAAATTTCAGTCCATAACCAAGTGAAAAGAAATAATTACAATAACAAAATTTGTATTAACTTATTGATCATAAGTTATCGTGTCTATGCTTTTTTAATTCTGTAAATTCAGAAATTTTGGGATGTTTTCATTATTGCACAAATTGTGACAGGATATGTTTATTTGCAAAAGTTAAAACTCATGTTTTATTTTTAAAGTATTATTTGTCGAGAGCATTTCATAAAATCAATAATTTATATTTCATATATGTCCACTATTTAACAATAGAATCCAAGAAAAAAAATTATATATTTATAGAAGACAGATATGCATAAATCTGCATAGAATGTTTAACGTGGTTTAAAGTTTTTTCAAGAGGATTTTTTTGTTGAAAAAAATTGAGAATAATAGATTACATGCTATTATTAACTCCATACTAAATTGAAAATGATACTGTTAATTTGATGTAAAAATATCATAAATCCATTGTTATAAAAATTTATGCAAGCAAGTCTGATATAAAACAGACTAAATATTATATAATCTTTCTGGAACTATTTAGATACTCTTTTCAGGCAACAATTGGAAGCTTTACAAGACCACAGACAGAGACAGCAGATGCACATTGAAGATTCAAAGCAAAGTCATGAAAAACACCAAAAATACCTCAGTGCTACCATGGAAAAGTAAGTCAAAATAAAACACAAGAAATGAAAGTCACATTTAGGAAAAACATGCAAAATCAAAAGTTTTTGAAACACAGTCCTAAACAAGCGCACAAAAGATCCTAAGTATGCATGGAATAGTACATGTATTAATCCTTTTTTACATAGAAATTTATGTTTCCAAACTACATCCTTGTCTTGAATCAATCTGGGCCTTGGTTTGCAGAATGGTCTTAGTAGTTTTTCTACTGTACTAGCCTGTCAAAACTCAGGTTGTGAGTTCCAACCCTGCACATGGCAGGTGTGTTTGATCCAATCTTAATTGACTAGGATTGTGAGTTGTCCTGCTGAAGGTTGTTGTTCTTTGGGGCACTTTGTTTGCCTTCTTCAATAAAAACTTACCCCATGATATACCAATAGTGCTGAAAGTGGTGTTAAACACCAACAATTAACCAATTGAATTAAACTAATTTAGAAACAGGTTCTGTATCCAAGCTTTGGTAACAAGAATATGACAATGCTCCATTTTACTTTCTGGATAATCAGGGTTTGTTGTTATGATACACACCTATTGAAATTTAAATGCACACATTTTATTGGTTGACATAATAGTTCTCAGAAAATAAAGTAAATTGTCACTTTGTAAGATCCTTGTTTCAAAGCATTTGTGTTCAGATAAGATTGGTGATGAATATAACATTTAGAATAATTTGTAACATTTAAATCTAAAATTTGCAGGAATACAGCTTTTTCAAATATGAACTTTCTTACAAATCTCCAACAACAGTGAACTCAACAACAATCTGAATAGAACTGACCACTTTCATGAAAGCTACATACAGTAAAGTTAAAATTGTTTTATGAATTATTTTCATTATTTAGAATGAAGAAAAGGCAAGATGAAGAAAATATTAGATATAAAGAAAATATGCAGAAAAAGATGGATATGTTACTGAAGCTAAAATCAGATATCACCTCAAACAGGGTATAAATATTTTTAACATTGACAACAAAAAGCTTGTAGGAAAAAAAATCTGGAATACTTCATCATCAATTCTGATTCTAAATTTTTATGCATTGTGACTTGGATGGCGAGTTGTCTCATTGGCACTCATACAACATCTTCTTATTTATAGTGTTAAATTTGTCTCTTAAAAAAAAAGGAAAAACTTTTTTTTTTCACTGAAAATCCATTATCATATGAAAGAGAAATTAACAAAAAGTTAAAAAATTTTAGGCAGATACTTTTATTTTGAGAGTTATAGAGAATAACTTTTAATAAATATATTTTATAAAATATCAACCAATTGTATATCATAGCTAACCAGAAGTTATAACAAATATTTTTTAAAATTCTGTTTTTCTAAAGAATTATTTTGTTACAGGAAAATTTAAAAGCCTTGCACGCAAGAGATAAGGCTTTAGAGAAAGAAAAAAAGCAACAGGAAGAAGAAGAAAGACAAAGAATTCTTAGTGAAGGTGGAAATCCTGACCAGGAATTTCTGATCAGGAAGAGGATTGAAACATTTGAAAGACATAAATCGTAAATAGATTCTTAATTTTTTTAAATGATTTTCAGGATTTTTTTTTTATAGCTTTTAATTGTGAAGCCTACTTTTCAATATTGTTTATATGTGATACAACTTGTTCTATTACTCTTTCATGCAGTCTAAGTCTAATAAAGTAGTTTCATTTTTTTCCATCAATTTTACTAGTACGGTAAAATGAATTGTGAAGGCTTATTGTCACTTATTACTTTTGTGACATACCTTTTTAAATTCCAGTTAAAATCTCTGTTTAAGTTTAGATTTATAAAATTACGACTTTACTATTGAAATATGTACCACAACTATAAAGAGACTTGCAATACAATTATTAAAAAGCATCAAAACAAAATTGAAGATATGTTTTTCTATAATATTTTATTTTTCTCTATAGAGACTTTGAAGTTCAAAAAAGAAGCAGAGAATCGACAATAATGGGTAAAATTTTACTGGAAGAAGAACGAATGAGGAAAAGGAAAAAACAACAACCACAGCTATTTTCAGATCCCAAAAGGGAAAAATCATTGGTAAGTAAAATGTAATATTGGTTGTAATTTTTTCTTTTTTTATTGGATCAATTTATGAAAACACAATATAGGATAAGATAACAAAAAGGAGATGCATAGTTGTCATTCAGATACTTTGTAAAAGAAACTTTTTTATGAATTCTACAATTTATTGATTTATGACTGTTTGGTGAATATCACAGTACCTTGCGGTCATAAACATTTGACATGCGATTATTGTACTCAAACTCATAATTCAACCAATCAAAATACTGGATTTGGTTTTTGTGCGTAAATTATGTACTTCAGTTCTGAATAAAGTCTTTCTGACTGTAGGCCCAGGTTCACTTATTTTATGAATATTCAGAAGGATTAGAATAAGAGTGAAATTAAGTCAGGCCAACTAAAGTTGATGGTTCCTTTTTTATCAGTTTACAAATGTGAATCGCTAAAATCAATTAGTTGCAATTAATCTTTAATTCAAAAGAAGAGCACATTGATTTCAAAAGTTTGATATTTTGTAGGTTGTTAGTGCTCAGAAAAAGAAACCACTGAAGATAATGAGAGATATGTCTGGATCTTCTGTGTTTGATGAGACTGAGCTTAGAGACAGTAAAGTAGACTTTTCAATTGATGAGGTAATTAACCATATTTTTACAATAATTAAAGGGAAATAACTTTTATGTCTAAGTAACATTAGATCTTATATTAATTGCTTAATGAAAGTAAAACACTTGTTTGGATCCATCTTTTGTTTTTTTTTTATTAGAAAAAATGTATCATTCATCATAATCATAATTGTGAAATATCAGGGTGTATGGAAAGATTAAAAGTAATTTCCATAAACTTGTTTATATTATTTATTAAAATAAAGTTTATAAGATGACATGAGACTGTATCAATGTATAGCAAGTGCAACATACAACAAAAACAAACTTGATCACATAACACAAATAAAATCATGATGGAAAGTAGAAACGATCCAAAAAGATATAACTTTTTTTTTTTTTTAATAATCTTTGTGTTGTCAAATTGTTTTTACTCTTATAGACATTTGTAGTATGCAATTACAGATCGTATAAAGCCGTGTTTGTGATGATAATGATATGCTTATGTAGAATTTTTTTATGATAATATTGGAAACAGATAATAAATGACATTTTGTTCTATTTTCCTAATTAACAGTTAGAAAAGCAAGATGATTCTGACAGTGAACGAAGACAAACAGAATCAGTCCGACCATCTAGTTCTGATGAGAAGAAAATACCCGACTCCAGTGATTCGGAGGATGGAGAAAGTGATGGTAGGTAATCAGTATAGCAAGGAATAAGTTTTCTAAAAATTATGAAATACTTTGAACATCTGTATAAAATTGCATTTACTTGTGTGCTGAATATGTAAAATATTAAATACCCATGATTTAGACTTTCTTCTTTAGTTAATACTAGACTGTGTTGGTACTCAGAATGGCAAATAATTTCTGCTCTATCAACTCTCAAGAATTTAGTAAAATTAGACTCACAGCGATTTATTCTCATGATTGTCTTATTTTTATATATGGGAAGATCCCAGTTTTACATGCTAGCCACTATTTATATTCACAATTTTTGTATTAGCGAAAGTTGCAAAAAATAGTTGATTTACAGTAAACGATGATATATCTAAGAAGAAAGATTCATTTTTATGGTACTTTTTTATCATTTTGTAGATGAAAGAAAGGTAGATCTTGCTCAGCCAGAATTTCAGGGTCTGTGGAGTGAACACAAACCTTACAAAGTACCTAGTGAAACTAATACAGTGAAACTACCAGGAGCTAGTAAGATGGAAAAGGTATGTTTAAATATTGGTCTATCAATATCCTCTAGTATCAAAGTTAACAATTTTTAAATTGTCTCCCTTTTCTTGCTTAATATTCTATATGCCTCCAATGTGATTTATAGCAAAATAATAATACATCATAATAAAAAATGAAATGCAGGATATGGTTAAAAAAATATTTGGTAGTCAAAAGACTGATTGAAATCAAATCAACACACAACTTCCAAAAACCTGATTTCCAAGTAAAATTTATTTTCTTTAATTTGTGATGTTGATTTTTGCATGATATAAGAAAAACAAAGTACCATTACTTTTACAGGATATACTGAACAAAGTATTGGACAAGCACAGATCAGGTATAATCGTAAAACAGGTAGCTGCTGGTAGAGAATTCCAAGGATGTCCATTTTATAGCAAGCCTGATGTTATACATTTCAAGGTAATGTATTAATAGAACCTCTTTTTGAGCTTACAATTTAGTTCAGTGGTGCAAGTAAAAGACATAAATGAAAAAAATTAAAATAGAATACAATCTTTTTATCATTCATAAGCTGCCATTAACTTAAGTTGCTGATATCAACGGCAAAAAACCCAAGTGTTATCTGATTAATTCAATTAATTTCATAAAGAAATAAAATGTTCTTACTGTATAAAATAGGCAATCTTGCAGGAAAATGAGACATTCCTTCATCTTATTTTGTCCAGATGGGGAATTAAACATAACACAGTCTGCTTTGATCTTTTGTGGAGAAGTTGCCTAACACATTACTATTATTATTTTATTTATTTCTGTGAATATTATGATTGTAGGACTTTGATGTAGGGAAGTCTTATAAAAAGAAAGTTACCCTGACTAATGTATCCTATACTGTGAACTACTGTAAATACATCAACATCACAGAACATCTTAAAGACTTTATAGAAATACAGTAAGTTGTTAATGGCTACAGCACTATAGAACATGTTATCCTTTTGCTGTGTTACTTCAAAGGTTCTAATACATCGTCTATTGCTTTATTTGTGTTACTTGAGCAGTTAGGATGTATGTATTAAAATTGAGAATGGAAATGGGGAATGTGTCAAAGAGACAACAACCCGACCATAGAACAGACAACAGCAGAAGGTCACCAACAGGTCTTCAATGCAGCGAGAAATTCCCGCACCCGGAGGCGTCCTTCAGCTGGCCCCTAAACAAATATATATATTGTTCTGCTTTCATATGATAAACATAAATACATAGCATACAGAAATTTTTGCTTGCATTTATAGTTGCCAAAGTCAGAAAAACAATGGACAAAAATGCAAGATTTATAATTGAGATAACAGATAATACAACAAATATTGCTATCAAAATTTAAAATGCAAGAGTTTATTTTTGTACATCACCAAAAGAATATTTTTTTTAAATTTATAATTTATATAAATTGCACACACAAATACCGATGGATAAACTTAAATACCATTCATGGTGCTATGTAAACTATTCCTATATGACAACACTAAGTGTATTGCCTTAGTTTGATTATAAAATGAAATATTTACAACAGTCCTTTCTGGTGAGTGAACATTGTATTCATCATTTTCATTAGTTTGGTTTACTTGTATGTTTGGGATTTATAATTTGAGAAAGATGTTTTGAAGGATATTATTCCAGAATTACAAATGAAATGTACATCTCACTTTATATTGAAATTTATGGTATTAAATGGGTTAAATATTTGGTAAAATATTTTCTGTGTTCATCTATTTTTGTAATATTTCATTTCAAAGACCAAATAAGACCTAGTCACAATTACTCCTTTTAATTTATATTAGACACAGGTTTTAAATTCTTGTTATTAGAGTATTTAGAGATAATGAAAAATAACACAACATTTCATATCACATTGGTAATGATCATGTTTTATCTAATAAATCTAACAAAGTAAATATTTTTTTTATTTACAGGTTTGACCCTCCAGGTCAGATGTCTGCTGGTTTGACTTGTGAGATGATGGTTACTTTTAAACCAATGGTAAATATTTTAGTTCAAATGATTTAATGTGGTTTTAAATTGTATAACAACTGCCATATCTAAATATATACATATTTGGAAGCAGTTGGTTTGAAATTTAGCTGCTCATCACAAAGTTTGAAATTTATAATTTCACAAATCAACAACAATTCTAGAAAATGCAAAAAGTAAGCATCCATGAGTGATAATTTTATTTTTCAGAATTTTGCTTAATATCATGATTTTAAAATGTTTGCCACTCTCTTGCATTATGAGTTTTTTGGGGTTTTTTTTGTTGATACATTGATACTTTCACCTATATTAAAATCATCAATTGTTTTATGGTTTTTTTTATTGATACATTGATACTTTCACCTATATTAAAATCATCAATTGTTTTATGGTTTTTTTCAATAATTTTTATTCCAGATAAATGAAGATTTGGTTGGTGAAGTTAATTTCCTATCACAGACTGGACCTTTCTCTATACTTCTCAAATGTACAACTAAAAAATGTGATGTAAGTATTATATATTTAAACAAAATGTTCATAGTGGTAGCTAGCTTTGCTATGAAATATTTTGTTTGAAAATAAAATGAGCATTCTACAAGTAGATTGCGGCTCTAAGACGAACTTTATATAACTATTATATGTAAATACATACCCTGCAAAGTTTTTTGATAAAATTATGTTATAACAAATTGCCAGATTATAAATGGATCAAAACTGTGATGTTTCATTTATTATTTAAGAAATTATTTTAAAACCATGAAAATACACCTGAATTGATTTTAAAGTATTAAAACAGATTCATTCCTATTTTAGCTGTCAGTAGATACGAACAAAGTAGAGTTTGGCACCACTGTTATCGGAGAGACTCTGAAAAGGACATTTACTTTGACTAATAATGGAGCTCTTGGCACTAAATATGAGTTCTTTAAACTGACAGGCTCAAAACTAAGGACTGTGACTACTGCTGAAACATCATTAGGACGTTTGGTAAGATATTTATACAACTTTTACCTCTAAAAACTCTTTCTGGTAATGTATTAGATATAGTAATGAATACAAGAAAATGATTTTTCTTCTATACATTCTTGATTGATTTTGATACAACATCAACACCAATGTCTTGACAACAACCATTATTGAATGACCTCAGAGGAGTGAAATTATCTGATTTATTTCAAATGTGAAATTATTTGTTTTTATTTTATTCGGAAAATAAAGTATTTAATTTGATAACAATGTAACACTATAACTTCTGTATTTTTAACAATCCATATTCACAAAGAGAATTGACAATTCAGTAATATTTCTGCATGGACAATAAGTATGCTATAAATTACTTTGTTATTTTTAGACTACAGCTGACACACTGAGAGGAGGGACACCTGATTCCCTGTCAATGATGAAAAAAGAGGCAGCTCCACCTGGTGAAAAGAAACCTGACCAAGGTAAGTTAACCTCAGCATTGAATTACTCTCATTCTGATAAGAAAATAAAAAAAACACTACAAACTTGTGCCATTTACTTGCACTCAGTAGACATCTGTTTTTCATTTGTATTTAAATGTCAAAATTTTATAAATTGAAGAGAAAAGAATAACAACATCTAATTAATACATATTATTGAATAAGAATAGTTTTGTTCTATTAGCTGTTGGATGTATTTTGATCACATTTCCACCTATAAGATATTGTGTTCATATACCACACAAGATTAGCTGTTGGATGTATTTTGATCACATTTCCACCTATAAGATATTGTGTTCATATACCACACAAGATTAGCTGTTGGATGTATTTTGATCACATTTCCACCTATAAGATATTGTGTTCATATACCACACACACATTTTGGTATGTTCGCCTTTGTATTGGACTATTTCAAAGAGCAAAACAGATTCCTGAGTTGGTAGTGTTATTCTTGTAAATTTTTATTAACATGATTAAGTTACTTTAAAACTTTATTTACAAAAAGTTATTAAAGTTGAATGAATATTTTTCTGCTCATTCTTGATCAAACTGTCAATGATATGATTTATTCTAACCAATAGAAATTGTTGACAAAGCTAGCCAGGAAGGAGGAGGTACATCTATTGACCACCAGGGAACACAAGCTGAAGCTGATGCTATGAGTGGTACTATGGGAGACGTTGAAGGTAAATTTAATGTTAAATGATACAGAAGAAGTGGAAAGTAATATTCCTGTACCCTACAGTAGGGGTAATATTGCTATAAAACCTTGTCCAACCATTTGTCCAACAAATATTGTTTTCCCTTTTTCTCAAATGCTGCTGAACAGAAAGACTTCATATTTAATCAACAGGTTAACAGTTATGAGTTGTAACATTGTAAAATGTGAGTCACTCTTTTCAAACCATGTCAGAAACATACTACATACTTGCATATTTGTGAAAAGATTCATTGAAACAAAATTGAATGACAGATTTACAAAGTTTCTTAAAAATATCAAATTCTAGCTACTGTTACTCCTTTACATAGTAATTATACTCCAATGAGTAGTTTGTATGTATTTTACATTTCATGAAAATATCTTTTGAAAATTTTACTTTGCCATGGTATTTTGACCCCCCTACCATGGTATATTGAACCCCCGACCTTTAAATTTAAAAATTCTAGCTGTTATAACTCTTTTACATAGTAATTATACTCCAATAAGTAGTTGGTATGTATTTTACTTGCTTGAAAAGATGTTTTGAAAATTTTATTTAGCCATGGTATTTTGACCCCCTGCCATGGTATATTGAACCCCATACTATAGCTCCAGTTTAAAAAAAAAAGTCATAGCCAACAAATTGTAAATTAGATAATCTGAAATACTATTTATCTAAAACAGGGGGGTTCAATTTTCCCTGGTGGGGTTCAAAATACCATATGGGAAAAATGACCCCGGGGTCAAAATACCATGCGGTATAATGACCCTGGGGTCATTATACCGCATGGTATTTTGACCCCGGGTTCACTTTTTAGGGGGTTCAAAATACCATATGACACCGGGCAAGATAGTAGGAGATTACATAAATTAAACCAATGTTATAAAACAACTGGAACATTCCTAACCTAAACAAGCACTGTCCAAGGAAAGTGGTTGGTTTAACCATGGTTTACAGCCCTAAATTGCCCAATTTTTTACAGTCACTTTTATTGGTAGACTAAACATAAAATTTTAAGTCAGCAATGACAAGTTCAGTTGTCTTAGTTTTTGCTAAGAAATAAAATCTTTCAATTTTTTATCCTGCATTTTTCCCTCAATTTATTATGTTTGTAGATGGAGAACAGTCCCCAGACCTGGCCATCAGTGAAATAGAGGACTATGGATCCCTGGATGGGATGAAAGTTGGTCCAATGTCTACTGGAGAAGTGGGTCCATTTTCCTCTGTCAAGTTGGAGATTATCTGGCAGCCACATATCCCTGGAAAAGTGTTTACAGAATTCTTGATATCCTTTAGTGACCCTCTCTCAGAAAGTGTAAGTTACTTACTAATCATGATGTTTTGATATTTATTGTCAACAATGAGGTGATATATCATTACTGACTTCATGCCTTTACCAAGATGAGTAGATGCTCTAGAATTAATCCAAAAGTAAAAAGATTGTGTTATTAATTTGTTTAGGAATCTCAATCTTTTTATAGATTTTAGTTCTAGTAATAAAGAAAAAAGGGATTCAAAAAAAAAAAATTAAATCTTATTTTGTAATGATAATTTAAAGATGATGTAAGCTTTAACTGAATATCATTTTCTCATTCAGAAGAATGCACATTTATACAAATTAGCAACACAAAATGTTTGTTAAAATAAAGGATTGTGTAACTTAATGTTTAGAGAGATGACTTACGTCAGTTAGAATTCATTGAGCTTATTTCTTTTATTAAGGACAGTCTTGTAAGATATTGGGAACAAACGTATTTAGAAAGATTGATTGTTGTAGTTTTAAACAAAATAATGCTTTATGATTTCAGATTTCTATACAAGCCCTAGCTAATGCCATTGATGTGCCAGTTTGGGTTGAGAGACAGACTGTCGATCTTAAGATCTGTATGTATGACAGGCTGTACCAAGATACCATCATTGTCAACAACAGGTAAGATCATATACCTTTAACTATATCATCAATGGCTGGCGATTTATTTTCTTGACATGAATGAGTAGAAAAATGTCATGAATATAATCTACGAATATGTCAGAGTGGATATTCTCTTATATACATACATCATTAAAGTTAGAAAATTGCGAAATAGGCTAAATTGTACAGAACATGTAAAAAATTATTTGTGATAATATTTAGGTTTATAGTAAATTTGTTTAAGTTTAATATAGAAAGTTCATCCAATTTTGTTTAATTTTGTCAGTTATGATACTGAATATTGATTCCTTAGTTATCTATTACATTAAATATTGTTTTCTTGTACATTCGCAGTTGATTGGCTATTTATTTGATATATTGAATGTTTGCTGACTGTTGTCTTAAGAGCTTTACTGGTCAGTTAACCAATACATTTTCGTTTATTTTCTATCAAAGGGCTTTCTGACACATTGAAGGTAACAGACTATTTGATACACTGAATTTACTGACTATTAATTTGTAAGTAATCTGATATTTTGACAAATTACAAACTTTGATAAGTTTTTGTGTAGGTATATTACTAATATGAACTTTCAATAAGTTAGTTTATTTCTAATCATCTGCATTTATTTGATTATTTTGTAACTTACAGGGCAACAACAGCATTGAGGTTAAAGTTTGAAGTATGTAAAGAACTGAAGAATCATCTTGAACTGCTACCAAAAACTGGGTACATCCAAGCTCAGTCACAATTCTCTGCCCAGCTTAAGTTTTTACCAAGGTAATACAAACTGGCTATATCCAACCTCAGCTCTGCTATTGTCAGGTTTCAAAAAATGATTTAAAAACCCCTTCAAATTACTCAAATGGTGCTTTTTAAGTTTTGATAGCAAAATTTGTATGTAGCACTTCATGATATCTTATAATGATTCTTCACTTATGAACTATTTAATGGCAGATATTTTAACTACATCAATTTTGAATACTTATTATACATTTATATTACTATATTGATCACTGTAATAAGTACAAAATTAACAAATCTTCATAGTTAAGTCACTATTGTTTTACAGGAAAAGTCTCTTTCAAGAAGCTGGTAAATATTTTGACAAAGAAACAGGTGTGTTGGAAGCTCCAATGATCATCAGAGTGGCTGATCAGGTAAGAAAAAACATCCATTCAAAAAGAATAAACAAGAGTTTCTCGTCAATGCTTAAAATTGCAACAGCAGCCATTGCCTTGAGCAACAAATTTGAAAGGGTCAACAGCTGAATCTGAAAATAATTGTAAAAAAACATAGTTTATTTTTAATTTCTAATAATAAAATTTGATTATTTTTAGTGGGTTAATATTATAACCAACGATATAATATCTTGATGTATCCACTCCAAATTCTATAGTATTGTAAACTATAATTACAAATGTCCTGAATGAATGACCTTTAGTTGTTAGCTTTTTACAAAAATCTTCTCCTCTGAAATCACTGGGCCAAATTTAACCAAACTTGGCCACAATCATCATTAGGGTATCTAGTTTAAAAATGTGTCCGATGACCCCGCCAACCAACCAAGATGGCCACCATGGCTAAAAGTAGAACATAGGGGTAAAATGTAGATTTTGGCTTATATGTCTGAAACCAAAGCATTTAGAGTAAATCTGACAGGGTAAAACTGATTACCAGGTCAAGATCTATCTGCCCTGAAATTTTCAGACAAATCTGACAACCTGTTGTTGGGTTGCTGCCCCTGAATTGGTAATTTTAAGGAAATTTTGCAGTTTTTGGTTATTATCTTGAATATTATTATAGATAGAGATAAACTGTAAACAGCAATAATGTTCAGCAAAGTAAGATCTACAAATAAGTTGTCATGACCAAAATTGTCAGTCGACCCCTTTAGGAGTTATTGCCTATTTTTTGTAAATTTTTGTAATCTTTTACAAAAATCATCTTCTCTGAAACTACTGAGACAAATTTAACCATACTTGGCCATAATCATTATTAGGGTATCTAGTTTAAAAAAAATTTCAGATGACCCCGCCTTCCAACCATCATGGCCGACTTGGTTAAAAATAGAACATAGGGGTAAAATGCAGTTTTTGGTTTATATCTCTGAAACTAAAGCATTTAGAGCAAATCTGACAGGTAGCAAAAATGTTCATCAGATTTAGATTTATCTGCCCTGAAACTTTGTGGATATACAAAAGCAAGCACATTGAAGAAAAGAGAAAAATCATAACTTAAAACACCTAAACAGGCTGAGATTTAAAAAGTAATTTAAATGTTTTCCAGACTCAGCCAGTACCATTCACTGTCCAGGCTGTAGTGACAACCTCTGATATGGAGTTTGACATAACCAACATAAACTTTGGTTGTTGTACCATCCATGAGTCAGTGAAGACAAGAATACGTCTTAGTAACAAGTCCATCTTGCCACAGGAATATGGCTTTGTTGGCCTACCAGATGTATGTACTACTTTTTATACAAATACTTAAATGAAAAGCAGTGTAAAAAGAACTATTTTATAAATGTTTCAAGATATTAATTTTACATTTTAAGTTTGTAATTATATTGTATATTTCTATATCAAAAACGTCTATAATTGAAGACAATTGAGCTTTCATGGAGCTTTTGATTTTTCCATTTGATTAGGGACTTTCCGTTTAGAATTTTCCTTGGAGTTTGGTATCTTTGTTATTTTACTTTTTGGTCTGTAACTTTTAATTATCAAATCTGCTGCTTTGCCTTCTAAAAATATTAAGTTTTTCTATGTCATTAAAAACCCATTTAGAAAAAAATAAATAAAAACCACATACATTGACCTATATTTTAGTATGTTGAGGTACAACCAGATGATGGATTTGGAACACTGTTGCCATTGGAAAGCATTGACCTGGATGTGATCTTCAGTCCCAAGAAAGCTAGGGAATATAAATTTGAACTGAATTGTAAATCAATAATTAACAGGTGAGTGTAATCATTATTTTTATGAAAGAAATATATAAACACCAGAATGAAATATATAAACACCAGAATGAAATATATAAACAACAGAATGAAATCAAGGTCAAGTTAACCTTCACTTGTTTCTGTTCTTATGCATATTGAAGTTTCTTGTATGTAAGACTATAATGCCAAAGCAGCAATTGTAATTAAAGTAGACTTGATATAACCTGTATCTGTGTCAGTCTTCAATGCACTGGTGTATTGCTGTTGTAGCATTATCAACATCTACAAAAGAACTTAGCTTTCAAAACTAGCATAATAAAAATATCAAACTCCAGGGTAAATTCAAAAAGGAAAAGTCCATACAAACTTATCAACTAGCTTAATGAGTGGAAAACAACTGTCATATTCCTTTACTTGGTACAGACATTTACAAACCAGTGCTACTTGCCACGTTGAACATTCAGTTGGGTGTGATTTTTTGTTCCATGTTGAAAGCCTTATTGTGACTTTATAATGAAGAACAATAGCAATATAGCAATATTTCTTTGCTAAGGTATTGTCATATCCGTGTAGTGATTTAGCGTCATGGAATAAAACACCATTTGAATTTATAAAGTATAGTGGTGGAGACTTATGGTTTTGTGTCACAACGTATATTTAAAATAGATAGATTGATATCACAGAATACAAGTAAATATACTTTAAATGTAGAAAATATGAAAGTATTCTTAAATTCACTGATTCAGTGATTGACTACACAGGTTGATTATTTTGTAAATAGGTTCCCTTGTCACCATCTTACGGTGTTTATATATCTCAACTTGTACGATTCGCTCGTGTATGTAACAATGTTTTAGATTTTAACGAGAGAAATTTATGTATTACTGAAAAATTATTACACCAGGGTTTTCGATATCACAAACTAGTCAAAACATTTACTAAATTTTATCATCAGTATAATTACATCATTCGTAAATATAGCTCAACATGCAGACTTCTTATACGTTCAGGTATTTCACATCCAATTTTTTATGGAAATATTCTTTATAAAGCACAAAAATGTCAGTATTCACCTCTGAAGCTAACAAAACCTTTAAATAGACTTATTAAGAAGGGATATAGTTACAATACTGTTGTCAGGTCATTAAAGATTGCATATTTTGGCGTTAATATTGATTCACTTATAGGGTCTTTGCATCGGCACTAAACACATTTATTTAAAAACCAGTTGTTGGCATGACACGGGTTATGTTCTTCTCATATATGTTATGATGGTATGATACTAAACCCCTAACGGGAAGGATTGTGCCTGATATTCATATGATGAAGACATAATCTTTCAATCAGTTTAATTGAAGTCTGGAGCTGGCATGTCAGTTAACTGCTAGTAGTCTGTTGTTATTTATGTATTATTGTCATTTTGTTTATTTTCTTTGGTTACATCTTCTGACATCAGACTCGGACTTCTCTTGAACTGAATTTTAATGTGCGTATTGTTATGCGTTTACTTTTCTACATTGGCTAGAGGTATAAGGGGAGGGTTGAGATCTCATAAACATGTTTAACCCTGCCGCATTTTTGCGCCTGTCCCAAGTCAGGAGCCTCTAGCCTTTGTTAGTCTTGTATTATTTTTAATTTTAGTTTCTTGTGTACTATTTGGAGTTTAGTATGGCGTTCATTATCACTGAACTAGTATATATATTTGTTTAGGGGCCAGCTGAAGGACGCCTCCGGGTGCCGGAATTTCTCGCTGCATTGAAGACCTGTTGGTGACCTGCTGTTGTCTGTTCTATGGTCGGGTTGATGTCTCTTTGACACATTCCCCATTTCCATTCTCAATTTTATGTGTTTAAATCCACATGTAAATAATTTTATGTAAGATATATATATATATATATATATATGTACCTGTATTTTTTTAGGGAGTTTAAGATCCAGTGTGAAGGGGTAGGTGTACATCCACCATTGGATCTATCTCACCAGGTTATACACTTTGCTGCCACAGCCTTATATGATGTATCAACTGCTACAGTCCATGTCAATAATTCACACATCAGCACCAATGAGTTCACTCATCCTGTGCCAAGGATTGGTAAAGGTAGGCAACAGCCATAATTCTTGTAAACTTATGTACACCAGTACCTATGAATTAATACAGTAAGGGCTGGTGGATGACCCAAACCAGTAAACAAATTCACACTAGTATCTATGAATTCTCAAACCCTGTGCCAATGTTTGGTAAAGGCTTTTCTAGTATCTATGAATTCTCAAACCCTGTACCAATGTTTGGTAAAGACTTTTCTAGTATCTATGAATTCTCAAACCCTGTGCCAATGTTTGGTAAAGGCTTTTTTTTTCTAATAGTATAGAGAGAATATATATAATACAAGAAGTGCACCTTTGATCAGAAAATTGTCATAGCATGCCTTCAAATTGTTTTTATCCACTTTTTCTTCAAAATATTATAGAAATCAAAATGGCATTTCTAATTTATGTTGACATACTTTACTTTGTTTGTCCTTTCATGTCTTTACTGTATGAATGAGGCACTTAAATTTCTTATATTTGAGATGTTTGATAACATTGTATTTATGATACAGCTTGTGTTTTTTTATTGTTTATTTCTTAAGATGCTAAATGAATGACTAATTTCTATCAATCTTCTTAGGAGAAATAGTACCGGTTGGACCAACATCATTTGAATTCAAGATACCAGAGGGAGCTCCTCTGACCATTTCACCCTCTGTAGGAACAATAGAACCAGGAAAGGTAAGCTGTAATTCTTCCTTGTAACTTTAAAACTATCAAGTACATGAAGATTAGGATATTGGGAGCTATTTCATATGGTAGAAGTTAAAGTTCCCTGGAAAGGTTGATCTGGAGTATACCAAAACATATATACATAAAAATATGAACACAATATTGCTAATGAAGATCAAGCAATTGCAGTTAAAAGTAAAATCACAAAAATACTGAACTCCGAGGAAAATTCAAAAAGGAAAGTCCCTTATCAAATGGCAAAATCAAAAGCTCAAACACATCAAACGAATGGATAACAACTGTCATATTCCTGACTTGGAACAGGCATTTTCTTATGTAGAAAATGGTGGATTGAACCTGGTTTTATAGCTAGCTAAACCTCTCACTTGTATGACAGTCGCATCAAATTCCATTATATTGACAACAATGCGTGAACAAAACAAACAGACACAATAGGTAATAATGTCAAAAATAGGGGTACAGCAGTCATCATCTTAATCACTATAAAAACAAATGTAACAAAGAAGCACAAAAAGGCATACATCAAATTTAACATCCTCATTTTGCTTTTTTATTATACGATTTTATTAATCTATGTAAAATCCACCCATAAAGAATGGAAGGTTTTAAGTACTGGCGTAGAATCGCGCATTTGACGTCACACAGGTAGATATAAAATGATTTTGTCGTTCAAAGTATGATGGGATACATAAGTACAGAGTCACGTCAAATGGATATCACAAAAAACAGACTTAATAGTAAAAGTAATATTAATAAAATAAAATAATTTTGTCGTACAAAGTATGACGGGATACATAAGTACAGAGTCACGTCAAATGGATATCACAAAAAACAGACTTAACAGTAAAAGTAATATTAATAAAGACAAATAAAAGAATACTATAACACATTATTAAATGGTGTTTTGGCAATAGGAATCAACTTTACACTATAAAATTTTAATAGTCAAATTGGATTACTATCAAAATATTTTCTAAATCATAATCAGAATACATGAAGGTATTTGGTACAGGATTTTTTATTTTTCTTTAAAGTTAACCTGAATTATGAAAATGAAGTTAGTTTTAGTCCAAAGGGAGTTAACTCTAATGAAAAATATTAGATTTTAAAGTAATACACTTAACTTCCTAAATGCACACCTTATTCAAAGCATATCTACATTGTTATAATAACTCAGTACAAATAATGTTTTTACAGAAATGTAGGGTTCAAGTGAGGTTTGCTCCACAGTTGGAGGAGATGGATGTTAGGAAGGAAGGAGTGAGAATGGCTTCCAAAGCCATGGAGGCAAAGGCACAGAAAGAATACCAGGAGTCTCTACAGAGAGAGAAAGAAAAGGCTGATGAAGCTTTGGTCAGTTTGCCCAAGTCTTATTCATTCTGTGTTGATGTAGTTTTTTAAATCTTGCTTTTCATTTATTTATTTAAATCATAGATACTAGTCATAATTACTATGCTCTATATACTATTTTCACATAGTTTAATTTTCTCAATTTTTAGAGCCAAACATGTTAGTGTGGTCTTTTTGTTTGTGCTTTTGTGCCCCGCTTACTTTAATATTGGGGCGTTATCTTTTCCAGTCAATCAGTCCATTCTGTAATAGCTTAAAATATTTGTTAAAGGTAGTTTACCATGAAGTTATGGTCACATCAACTTAAAACTTAGTATTGTTCATTATGGCATGAACTTTAAAAATATATATGCCAAATAAGAGTTTTTACCTCGATTTCTGATGTCCTTCAATTATTATAGATCACCAGCAAATCATAGGAAAACATATCTGAAAATATAATTGTATTGTGCAAAAATTTCATGTTTTAAATGTTATAATCTGTACAGGAAGATGGAGAAGATGAGGTAAAAAAAGTGTTAACTGTTGCTTAATGTAACATCAATGATAAAATGATAGGTTACGGGACTTTATCATCACATCATGTTCAAATGTCATTAATTATATGTTATATTAAAGGTGGTCAGAATAAATGATGCTTATATAACACCATGTATTTATAGATTTATAGGAAAATGTCATTACACAATAAATATTTATTTACTAGGCCAGATTTAAAAATATTTCTGTTTGCCTCAATTTTACCAACCCTAAGTTTGGGTCAATCAGACTTGAATTAATCTATATTTTTACATATTCATTTGGAATGGAAAAGGAAAGAAAAAATAAATGTTGCAACACAAGGTTGCTTTAAATTTTAGGGTATTTGGTTAATGGCAAGCTAACAGTATAATTTTGTTTTTGGTCTAATCTGTACATTTGTGTGCTTTAAACAGGGATATAATTTGCTTGAATAACACTTGATAAGGGCACTTAATGGGTTACACAAAATGTAAAAAATGTCTAATTGATTATTTTCTGTACAACAGGACAATGAGGTAACATTTTTGTTGATAATGACTTGTTGTATGACATTGATGCTGGAATGTTGAATTGTGGGATTGCATAATATGATTTGTTTTGATAATGTGAAAAATAAAAATAACAATGATAATAAATGCAAGATTAATATTCAGCTCAATAATGGAAGATAATTATTGCTGAATTTAAATAAAATGTATTGAAAATTGTGAGACCACAATAGGATTTGCAGTCTCTGTATTTGTCACTTGTCAGTCAACATCAGAACTCATATGAGCATGTCTTCAGTAACAAATATACACAAGATATGAAGTTGCAATTATATAATTTCATTGTTTACTGAACTAGTTTACTTGTTTGGAACTCAACAAATTGATTTGTGTTGCAGCTGTGTTATTTAGAGATGTTAAAAAAAGTATCAAGAATATCATTTGTTCTCTGCTATTTTAGGATCAGTTTGAAAACAACATTAAGTATTGAAATAACTTGTACACATGAAAATTATATAAAGCTCTAGAGCATTTTTGAAGATGTCACATTGCAACATTTGTGGAATATTAAAGCTTTTTTCAGTTGAAATAGTTAAACTGAAGGTTTTTTGTGGTTTGAATTGACATTGTTTTAATTTTAGGGCAGTTGTTAAATGAAATATTGTAGTCTAACAAAAATATTCAGCATATAGCTATTGAATGATATTATGTGTTCTATTTATCGTTGGTTTGTAAATTTACAACTGCTATATTTTTGTTAAGGATGTTAGCTACTCTGTTTCAGAATATTAAGCTTTCAAAAGACTGTTATAAATTGATAGTATATAAATAAAGGAACTAAAAAGCGGATAAACATGAAGGGTCCATGTGCTTGTTTTCGAGATATAAGCCATTGAACATTTGGCGGGAAATGATTCTCTCTAGATTTTTCATACATTTTACATTGGCACCTTTTTTCTGTCTAAAAGTATGAAAAAATAACAAGGATTTAATAAGATTTTCAAAGATGGCATATTAAACTATATTTAATCAAATTATGAAAAGAAAAGTAGAGGTAAGTGGGCAAAAATTTTTAATGGCACTACATGGATAACACTAGAGGATTTTGAATATCTGACAAAAATTCAAAAACAAGAGCGAACATCCTTAACTGCATGTTGGTTTAATGAAACTTATTTGTTTAATGTATCAGATTGTAATCTGTTTTGTCAGTAACAGTGTTAAGTTTAATGATTTTTTGAATAGTTTATTAAAGCTAACCATGTCATTGTTATTTTAAATCATGCCAATCTATGTATATCTATTTGTATAAAAATGGCATGAAAAAATGATGATAACTAAAACTTGGGAGTGGAACTCGTCCCATGTTTGTGTAAAAAAAATGTACGTTCCACCATCTTAAGTGTCAAAGCTTGTATGTTTCTGGATTTCATTATGGATAAATTGAAAAACATGATAACACTTAAATAGATCTGTTTTGAAAAAGGAAAATTTTGAATTACCTGCCTTTCTTTCATGTTGCTGTAAACTAATATTATTATCTTTATTTGTTTTATGTTAACTGTCTTCTTGTTGTAAAGTATTAATAAATTTACAAATAAACTTTTAAATTTTATTTCAGAAATCAGGAAATAAAGGTAAAGGAAAAGATGGGAAATCCCCAGCTAAAGGGAAGGGGAGACAATCACCAGGTGTCCCTACTCTTACTGTGGCTGGACCCAAACCTTTTACACCTCCAACACTAGAGAATATCACAAAGGAGTGAGTATTGTAATTCAAACATTTCATTAAGATGACAGTGTCTAGTACTGTGAAGATTTTAATTATGCTGAGTTCTTTTTTTTTTTGCAAACATATTTTAATGTCAAATTGAAAAGTCATACTTACAATCCAGATAATGGTCATACCAGTGCTAAATTGTTTTGTAACATCCTTCTAGCTGCAGTTGTACAAGTAAAATATATTATTCACTGATCTGAAACCTTCTTAGCCAAAGTGACATTCTGGTTGTCTAACATTCTCTAAGTTCCATTAATGCTTATTGTAAAACTATTCCAGAATTATAAAGAAAAAGCAGAAAAACGCTGTACATAATTTGGAATCCATAATCATTTAAATTGTTTCCGTACTTATACATCCCTCGGATTTCAAATGTTTGGCTTTGAGCGTTCCTGATGAAGGTAAATCCAGAAAAGCGCTTCGGACGCATGAAATTATTAAACGTGTTGTTTTCAATTTTTTAAATAAATTTTATCCACTGTATTTATGCTTTTAACTTTTCTTAGAATATTAATTTTTGTCTTTGTCATATAATAAATTTCTTTAATTCTCTGTATCATGATGTATATTTTTCCAGTACACCAGCTTATGCAGCAGCCTTGGGATCTCTGTTGAGACAGTATAAGAGCTGCTTTAGAACCTATGTTATACCATGTTATGTAGCATCAGGGAAATGTGGTAATCCAGGAGAACTACCTTACACGTATGTATTATTTGTAAGTTAATACTGTGGATTCATTATTATTCATGGAATACCAATTGTCATGGATTTTGTAATTAATATATACACCATGAATTTAAATATTCAACAAAGTAAAAATTTGTATAGGGTTGTATGCTGACTTTGGCAAATCCACAATGCAAATACAATTTGTCCATAATCCATGAAAATTGGTACCCACAAAAATAAATGAATCCACAGTATGTGGAATTTCAGAATGTTGTGTTCTTTTATTGAAACCTAAACTTGCATTGATACATTCCATAGATCAAAATGAATTTGCCATATCATTTTTGTCGAGCCTTCGACTTTTGTCGAAAAAGCGAGACATAGCGATCCTACATTCCGTCGGCGGCGTCGGCGGCGTCCACAAATATTCACTCTGTGGTTAAAGTTTTTAAAATTTTAATAACTTTCTTAAACTATCCTGGATTTCTACCAAACTTGGACAGAAGCTTGTTTATGATCATAAGATAATATTCAAAAGTAAATTTTGTAAAAAAAAAATTCCAATTTTTCCGTATTTTACTTATAAATGGACTTAGTTTTTCTGCCAAGAAACATAACATTCACTCTGTGGTTAAAGTTTTTGAAATTTTAATAACTTTCTTAAACTATCCTGGATTTCTACCAAACTTGGACAGAAGCTTGTTTATGATCATAAGATAATATTCAAAAGTAAATTTTGTAAAAAAAAAAATTCCATTTCTTCCGTATTTTACTTATAAATGGACTTAGTTTTTCTGCCAAGAAACATTACATTCACTCTGTGGTTAAAGTTTTTGAAATTTTAATAACTTTCTTAAACTATCCTGGATTTCTACCAAACTTGGAAAGAAGCTTGTTTATGATCAAAAGATAGTATCCAGAAGTAAATTTTGTAAAAAAAAAATTCCATTTTTTCTGTATTTTACTTATAAATGGACTTAGTTTTTCTGCCATGAAACATTACATTCACTCTGTGGTTAAAGTTTTTGAAATTTTAATAACTTTCTTAAACTATCCTGGATTTCTACCAAACTTGGAACTTGTTTATGATCAAAAGATAGTATCCAGAAGTAAATTTTGTAAAAAAGTAAAAAATAAATTCCATTTTTTCCGTATTTTACTTGTAAATGGACTTAGTTTTTCTTCCAGTTAACATTACATACAGTCTGCACTTTAAGTTTTTAAAACATTTATTAGATTGAAACTATCCTGGATTTTTACCAAACTTGGACAGAAGCTACTTACAATCAAAAGATAGTATAGAGAGGAATATTTTTATTATTTTTTTTCCTCATTTTTGTTGAGCCTGCGATTAACAGCAAAAGTAGGCGAGACACTGGGTTCCGCGGAACCCTTACGAATTTTTTACAGCAAAATTTTCTTTTTCAACCTGATAGCAACTGGGATTTTTTGGATAGGTACTTGCATTAGGTTGAAAAAGAAAATTTTGCTGTAAAAAAAGGATATGGCAAATTCATTTTGATCTATGGAATGTATATATTTTGACAAAAGACAAAATTTCTCCACATAAATGTAGTTTTGAATGAATGATGATTGAACATAGCTGTTTTATCACATATTTGTAATGATGCTGATGTTTTTATATGATGAATATTGCATGAACAGAATAACACTTATCAGAATTATCAGGCAGAAATAGGGTACTGAAATCAGCTTCTAAAAGTATTTCTGCAAACAGTACATATCATAAGTCATTCCTCATGTGCCTTGATATATCACTCTTCTATAGTTTAGAGATCCATATAAAACCCATTGTATCTTTGTTTTCAAATATGACTATGGCTTTTGTAATACATGTACTTTTTACAAAATCTTTCTTTCACTAATTACATGAAATTAAGGACTGGAATGTGACAATAATGGTGCTAGAAACAATATATACTGAGATAAATAAAAATAGATTTTTATTAATTTGGTGCATCTGAAGCGCTATTCTGGATTTACCTTCATCAGGAATGCATCAAAGGTTTTAAAAGAAGCCATGGAACACTAATCCAAAAAGCTGGAGATAAAGAATTAAAGATGATCAAAGAAAGTAACAAAACTGGTATTATTATTGGTGATATGTGATCAATAGTGTATAAACATTTTATTTCCATATCATTCTGGTACCAGGTAATGACCGACCAAAGCTGTGCTGTCATGCTTGTTATAGTTGTCTTAAATATCATATGACTCTTTATTTTTGAAAAAAATATCTGTGTAGCGATATGAAAGATGTTTGCTCATCACAACTTCTGCAACAGTTTCTACTTTTGTTTTACAGTAATAACAACACATTATACATGGAGGTCCATTGTCCTGTTGTAAAGCCTACCTTGGTGGCGATCTCAGACCATGGGAAGACAACTCTAGATTTTGGAGAAGTTTCACTAGGCCAGACAATCATCAAATCTGTCACTATACAGAATATATCCAAGAAAACCATAGAAGTATCCTTTTTCTTGTATTTTCTGATAACATGAAACTATACAGCTATATATAAAATCTAACATCATTTGTCAATGTTTAAGTGGTTATTGAAGCAAAATTATACTTTTTGACTGATGCTGACACTATCAAGATATTTTTAATTCTTAATTACAATCTGATCATAAATAACAACAATGAACTATTTTCATTGAGAAAGTAAGCAGTATATTTTCCCTGTGCCAAGTCTTGTCAAGATTATTTACAGATTTTCCATATATTCTGCCCATAACCACTGATATTCAAGTGCCTTCAAAAAAATATTCAATCTTTTAAGAAAAATTGTCCCTCATAATTTCAGCTAACGAAAGTGAAGCTTCAAAAGTTTATAATAATATATCGGAAAGAACTGAACTGAAAACTTGTAAAGTATATTCTGCAGAAATATTTTTTATTTGTTTACATTGTTGCTTTTTGAAGATTTTCCTTAACTCAGACAGTTAACATCATCACTGCTGGACACATCTGGACCTTTCCTCATGTTGAATGCATTAAGAGTTTTACCACCAGATGGCACTCATACAATACTGATTTCATTTACACCTGAAGCTGGTCGTGTGGTAAGTTAATCTTTTGTGTCATTCAAAATAACTTTGCTGTTTTGATATCTTTGCTTTACAACATAAACATTTATGAAAATAAGAAGATGTGGTATGAGACAACTCTCCACCAGAGACCAAATGATGTAAAAGAGAACAACTATAAGTCTATAACTAGTCATTTTCAATAACTGTTTCATTTAAACATGGATTAGACAACTGGTCAGATGAGACAGAAGGATTTGCCTCCTGTGACAGGGAACTAATATAGGGGATTGCTGTAGTCATACTTCATAATCAAAATGAACACTGTAGCATTGATGTATCCCATCTTCAAAGTCTGCAATTTTTTATGTATGTGTATGCAATGTACAGATTTGAAAGGTGCTAGGACACATAAACTTAACTGTTTGTTTTCTGTTTTTTATATTACTTAAAATCAGCTTTATAATGTTACAATATTCTTGTTCCCCGTTAACCTATTGAGATTCATTTACACTTCGTAATTGTTTTGATTAACTTAATTAAAAGTACTGTAATTACAAAATTATGGAATGTGTCGGAAGCATTTGTAACTTTAATAACAATTTTATTTCCTGTTTTAGTTCCATGAAGTGCTACAAATCAACAGTGGGACATCAGTGTTACATGTGACAGTGATGGGTGAGGGTGTCAACCCAATTATTAACCTTGATATGCCTACAGAAAATGGTGCATTTGATATTGGTGCTGTTTTAGCTGGAGAATACTTAGAAAGAACATTTAAGGTATTCTATAAGTCAATCAAAATAATTAAAAAATAATTTTTGAATAGTTTATTTGTTGTCTTTTAGTTTTAGCTGGAGAATACTTAGAAAGAATATTTAAGGTATTTTATGAGTCATAATTTTTTTTCAATAGTTTATTTGTTGTCTTTTAGGAGTTCTGACTGAAAATATTACAATAGAGTTTTCATGCTTTAAATAACATATTGCATAGCTTTTAAGCAGACTGTAAATATATCTGGAAAAATTCAATTATAAAAGTTGTAATCTTAAAATTTAAATCAGAAGAAATATTCTTACAAGGTCCTTATTTAATGGTATTAATTTTTAGCATGAATTATAGGCTTTGGATAGTGGAACTCAAAGAAAAAAATCTCTCATAAAAAAACTGTCATTTAACATTTTCATCAGATATGGCAAAAGAGTTACTTTTGGGATATCAGCTAAATAAAGGGATTACAAACATAATCTTTTTTCTACTTTCAGATGCAGAATTCCTCCTCACTGTCCATAGATTATTCTATAAAATTAGAAAGTCTGTCGTTATTACGGCATGCAAAAAGTCAAGAGTTACCCTCATTTATAAAACAAGATGAAAAGATGAAAAGTTTAGTTGGTATGTATTTCAAAGAAATAACCAATTTAATAGTCCCCCACCAATTGAATCAATCAGATTAAGATTGGGATCTTCATTCAAATGACAAGAAACAATAAGTAATATTGCTCTACTTTTTGTGAAATTTATTTCTCTATAGTATGCAGTATGAACAGCAGATTAAGGTAAGATAACTTACCTCATATTATGCAATGTACAATTATTCTATGAATGAATTGTCCACTAGTGTGCAGATCTACAAATTAAGAACAATTTGAAAACTTCTGTGATTTAATATCTCGAAATTAAAAGGCCTTAGTTTAGAACCTTTCTTTAACTAATAAAAGAATGAACTTAAATATTCCAAATGTGTAACATAAATAAATTCTGTCCATTCTTTTATTTATTGTTTTTGAGAAAAAAGGATATTCAACTCCAGCTGTTAATGAGTTGTATACACTCTATAAGCTAAGCAAGTTTCTAGTAGACATGAGAAAACTATGTTCTCTTGAAATAGGTATAACTGTTTATTTTCATACAATAATTTGCATTTTCTGCTTTCATAGAATATCATATTTTGCATTGTTTTCTTGTTTTTGTTTTAACAAATTAAATATTTTCCAGGCACTCAAAACAACAATGGTCAAAATGTTTTTGACTTGGTTCCATCAGAAGGTCGAATAGCACCAGGGGCAACACAAGAAGTTACAGTGACCTTTGCCCCAGATCATCCTAGTGACCACTATTCTGATTTTGTTAAAATAGAATTATTTGGAAAGGTATAAACCATACTATATTTTTAAATTAAAACACAGTGCTAGAAATATAGAATGGAAAAGAAAGGATATGTTGTATTGATTCATGATACAAAAACATCCTTTTCATTTAAATTTGTTCAGTACAGGTTTTTTTTCTGTTTGAATTACCAAAATATTATTTTTAAAAAAGCTTTTTGAGAAAAAAATTATTGCCATCAATTTGAAGATTTAGTAAAAAAAGGTATGAATTATCACAGGGGAAAAGGTGTATTCAGAGATATTGTAGACATTTTACTTTAGACTTTCTCTTTTATTAAAAGCCTCAGTTGTAAAATGTTCTGTCTCATGAATCTGATGTGTGCTGTCATCAGTAGTTGTATTTGTAAAGACTTTCAAATAAGTTAAAAACATACAAAAACTGTTTAGGTGGGTTGTCTTACATCTCCAACATAAACAAAATAGTATTTCTGCACAGTAATTCAAAGTAAAATGAATCATTACTTCAAAGAATACACACCACCATTTAGAGATTTTGTATAACCAAATGATCTTAATTTTACAGAAAGAATCTCATTCCTTCCACATCAAAGGCATGGCCAAGAAAAATGTAATGTTTGTCCATGGTGTGGATGAAACAACAGTTAATGTGGAATCATTATCAGAAAATCCACCCTCAACATTAGAAGAAGAAGGTTTGTAAAGGTTTTGTAGAATCTAATTTGACCTGTACATTATAAAGATCTATGAAATAAGAGGGTTGCTAATTACAACTGTTCAACCAAACCAGAAAAATTCTATTCATTTACAATAATTGTTATATATGTGAAATATGTCTTTTCTAAATTGAATGTAAAACTAGTTATTTGTTCAGTCCATTCACTGGATGACTAGCTTAGTTTTTATTTTATTTTATTATGACAGTATTCATCTGTTTCCAAAAGGCTGCAAAGCCAGGTGCATATTTAAAGAGAATTAAATGGACCATTTTGCTATTTTACAATTTATGGAGAGGATGGTCATCTTTGCATAATTATTTGGAATCAAACGTAGCTGTCACCTCAGTAAAAAAATTGAAAATCTTATTGTGTATCTATTATACAGATATCCTCATCAGATATTCATGTCTTTAATATCATCGTATGGAATATTTTTTTCATTTTTTAGAATTAAAGGGCATTTTACCATCAGTATTATTTAGTGTTAAGAGCATAGCCAAAGAATCAGAATTTGTACCAGGTTCCAGAGATATATATGTGGGCTGTGTCAGGACAATGGCAGTCAGTCAGAAAAAGGTATAAGTGTGTGTGTGTATACCTCCAAAAAATATTTTTCAAGAATCCGTTTGTTAAGATTGGTCCATTTCTATGTGTATGGTATAAAGGGAATGATCAGCAAGCCAATGAGCAAGTGGGGCTTCTGTTATATGAAAAAGGACGTGAGGGTTCAATAATAATAATATTTTTTTTTACTGTTTCCATAGATCATTCATTTTGTATTTTGATATTTGTTAATCAGACAGAAGGAAAATGACATATTCAGTAAAGAAAATTGACTGTTTTTCCAAAATATTACTATTGTGTACTAGTAAAATAGAAATCATACTCGCAAATATGGTTTTGAAAACATTCCCTTTTTGCCATGTATATTTTTCTGGATCAGTGTTTTTTTTTCTACTTTTACATGTATAATGTCTGTTTTTTATTAACATTACATTTTGTACTGCATGAACTTCACATCACACATTGCGACAGAAATAGTTTTCCTTTTTAAAGGCTGTGTGAATAAAAGTTTGACCAGTTATCAAAATAACAAAAGTTTTCACAAACAAATCCAATTTGATCTGTATCTTATTTAATCCTGATAATTTTCTATGTTAAACATTAAAAATTTAATCTATGCGACCTGTTTATGAAGTCTAAGCTAACTTCCTGTACTTTTCCTGAATTTCAAACATGCATGTTTTATTATATATCTTCATACAACTTTATATTATAAAATATGTTGTTAAAAAATCTCATCAGTAATAGTTAATGTAATTATTTTCCAACTCCTCACTTAACAGTTTTCATTAACATTATTCATACTTTGCATGCTATAACCATACATTAATACTCAAATCAGTAATACAATTTTCAAAGATCAGACAAAATAAGGTATTGCTTCTCAGGCAGTCTTTCTAATCATTTTGGTATTCTCTTGTGTTTTTCATCAAGAGACTTTAAATGGCTGTGAAATCAATTTCTATAATTTCAGTAAAGCTATGAAGGCATATATATTGTGTCACTTTCATGAAAAGTTACAAAGTCCAACTGTGTCCAATATTTTTTAATACAGCTTGAGAAGCTAAAAGCTTATTGATGTATGGTTTTGTTACATATACCAGTGTGATTGTTTTACTAATATGTAATCAAATCTTGTGTTATCTAACAGGAAGTCAAAGGAAAGGTAAGTTATCTCCCTTGAACGTAGTTTTTTCTTAATTTTATAGCAAAAACTGTTTATAAAGATTAGGGAACATGAAGACTGTTTTAATATTTTCTTTAGTAATATAAATACACGATGATGGACTTCTTTTTACTCGTTTATATTAACATACATTAATTGTTATAATTTATTTATCTTGTGTGAATCTATTCTTATGCCCAGTCCCAAAAGTATCTGAGACATACAGATTTACCCTTGTTTATCTGTATCTTTACGTACAAATCTGCAGTTTAGTTAAGTTTTCCATTTCAATCCATTTGTAAAGGTATGCCAGTGACATCCTCTTGTATAGTGTTGTTGCAACCTACACATTTTACTTTTGAATGACTTTAATACATCTATGATAATGTGAACCAATAAACTTTATAAGAATCATTGTATAGCAGTAATGGAATATTGCATTGTCCTTAAACAATACATTACGTTTCTGTCACACTAGAGTGATTTTTGGTCATTTGAGTTTATTACTCTTAAATCTATGGTATGTTGTCAATGATATTTTATTGCTAAAAGACTCTGTAAAATACAAAACAAGTACACAATATCCAGGTCTTCACCATATTTATTTCAAGGTTCTACTTTTTATGACGATGATGAATGGCTGTTTAAGGTTCACTGAAAAAATTAAATGAATATTAGGACGAGAACTAGTGAATGTCATATGATGAACCCTGCTTTGTACTTGATTTACATGCTGAGCTGGATTTAATGTGCTAGTTCACAAGATAAATTGTCTGCAGGAAGACAGTTGTCTTACCTAGACACATTATTCTGACTCCTGGTCAACCAGTCTTTGCTCTTCCCACTATATTGGGCTTGCTTAGCAAAGGTAGCAAATACCAATTTTCATGTCTTTTGTTTGCCCCAGACAGGCTCTCAATTGCCCATATTATATTTTACCTATATATATTTAGTGTATTGTACAACTCCATTTTGATTTTGGTCATTTTAACCTACATAAAATGCTTGAGTGCCTCCATGAACCTCCAATTCATACACATATCTAAATATTATTGTAGAGGATGCATTCCCGTCTTACGAACATATTCCTTTCTTTATTTCAATTTTAATGTACATTCATTTTTAATTGTTTATTTATTTTTTCAACTTTAGTATTCCTAATTTTTTTATTTTTTCTGTATTTGTTGACTTTAAAAAAAATATTTTAAACTGGTTGCAGTTCACATAGATTGACTATGCTTTGTTGATTCACTTTAGGGACATAGAAAGGTGACAACTTTGCTATCATTGGTGTAGATTTGCTTCTTGCTATATATTTTACATTTATTTTCATGACTCAGTAGTTTATCATAATGTCACAATGTTATTGCAACCTCTGTAATGAAATCTTTGTAACTCTTAGTCTTTGATAATGAAATATATGATAAAATCATGATTTTTGTCTCGCCTTGACGGAGTCAAAAAGCGAGACATAGGTATGCTGTTTCCGGGGTCGTCGTCGACGGCGGTGTCAACAATGTATTAGTTTGTGATTAGGTCTAGTTCATGGTGAACCACTAGTGGTAGGTCAATGATATTTGGTATGCAGTTGTATTAGTATTGGCACATCTCATTACCATGGAGATTATTTGGCCCCGCCCCTCAGTCAAGGTCTATTGACGTTGAAACTTTTCATAGTTTACATGTATTAGTTTGTGATTAGGTCAATTTATTGGGAACCACTAGTGGTAGGTCAATGATATTTGGTATGCATTTGTGTAAGCATTGGCATATCTTATTTCCATGGAGATTATTTGGCTCTGCCCCCTTAGTCTATAGACTTTGAAAATTTTGCTAAGTTAACATGTATTAGTTTGTGATTAGGTCATTTCAAGGGGAACCATTAGTGGTAGGCCAATGTTGATTGGTGTTCAGTTGTATAAGCATTAGCACATCTCATTTCCATGGAGAATATTTGGCCCCGCCCCCTCAGTCATGGTCTATTTACTTTGAAACTTTTGCTTAGTTTACATGTATTAGTTTGTGATTAGAACAGTTTAAGATGAACTGCTAATGTTAAGTCAATGATATTTGGTATGCAAATTTATTGGCATTTGCAAGTATCGTTTCCATGGAGATTATATAGCCCCACCCCTGATCATGGTTCATTGACTTTGAAACTTTTACATAGTTTACAAGTTAATGTTTGTGTTTAGGTTTGTTTAAAGGGAACGACTTATAATAAGTCAATGGTATTTGGTATGCAGTTGTATTAGCATTGGCACATCTCATTCCATGGAGATTGTTTATAGCCATGTACCTTCAGTCATGGTTCATCGACTTTGAATATTTGCATAACTTACATGTTAAAGTATTGCTATTTTAATTTCAACATTTGCATTATCAAAATTACAAAAAGGCGAGACATATCTCTGTGATAACAGTTTATTTGGAATTTTGATTGGTTTGAAATTGGAGACCTCCATCAGAATGTTTTCAGTTGAAATTATACAATTTTATAACATATTTTCACTTAGAATCATTTAAATTTGCCATTATACTCTTGAACCTTGCAATTATAATTTAGGTTCAGTTGCTATTGTAGATTTATTTTAGGAAAAAAAAGTTCCTATATTAGCACTATAACATAGTATTATAATTTTATAACAGAAGTTTAATGGGGTAAGAAGTCTGCTTTGTTTAGAGTAGTTCTATATACAATGGAATTTTCAGTTATTTGTTTTTGTATGTTTGAATGCAAATAATTGTTTCTAGTTCTTCAAGCAATTGTTTTTTCTATTCTGTAAAACTCATTTATTCCAGCCAGGATCTTCTCATGAAAAAATCACATTTCGACATCTGGGTTTTCATAACCTACATTTTATGCATGAGTAGTTGTGATAAGATTTGCATTTACATTTATTTCTGATCTGACTTGTGATATATCAATGTGATATTTTACCACTAAATGCTACAAAAGTTTCAATTATTTGGTCATGATGACTTTAAAATCAAATGAGAAACTTCTGTTACTGGTCAGTATTGAACCAAGAATCATTCTTAGAAATTGGCTGGAATAAGTTCATTCTTTGTTTATACAGTTTTATAAAGAAATCACGTTTTAAATATGTTGATTTAAAATTGTTTAAAAATCAATTATTAAATTTTTTCCATAAAGCTTTTACATATTTATACATAAAATATTAAAAGAGAGAATTAATAACATTGAAAATGTGTTTCTTCTCTCTCTATCTGACATCTGTATGAGAACTTTACAATTTATAAAGTGATCTTTTATTGTATCACTTTTGTATGTCACTGTCTTTTTGACTTTGAAGTCAGAATGTTGTTTTCTCTCAATTTTTCTGTCAAAAACAACTTTGTTATGTCTGGAACAGCACCATTTGCATGAGTTGCAATATCTTGGTGATTAGCAATGTGAAACACCAAACGGAGGCTTTTATGGGATAAATCTGGTTGCAATTTAAAGTGAAATGAAAATTGGCATGATAAAGGGTTACTTATAATGGTTTTCAATTTGATATATTTTTAAAGATCATTTGCATATTTCAGTTAAGCCAAATTTGCTACTTATATAGCATTTCTTTGAAAAATGAATAACAGCACTTATATATTTTTTATTCTATCAGAATAACTAATTCATATAAAATTTGTACATAATAATTGGTTAATATGCTTTACAGCAAGAAAGCATGATTGATTAGGAATTAAAGATGGTATTTTTTGTCTATTTATAGAATGGTGAATTCCAGTTTGAGAATGTGCAAGCTATAACTTCAAAAGGTTTTAATATAGATCCTCAAAGGGTAAGTAAAAAGTTGATGCTATATCGGTTTTCCAATACCTCATACTGAGGTCAAGGATTGCAAAAGCCAATGTAGCCATCCAGTCTATACATACAATTATATGAAATACTGAAACAGAGACATTATGTTTCCCAATTAGTGATTTCTGTGTCTGTTCATCTGTATGTTGGTACCTAATCAGGTTAAAGTTTTGCTTTAAGGAAGTTTACAATGAAATTGTGGTCACATCATTTTGAAAGTAAGTACACATATTCATTGTGATGTGAACTTTTAAAAATATATGACAAATAAGGGTTTAGATACAGATTTTGTGGTTCACTAAACATGGAAATGTGATATAGTCACATATTCTTGTTTTATTCAGATATTCTTTGTTACCATGTAAACAGAATATTTTAAATAGCTTTCTGCTTTTCACCATAGTTTTTTGAATAGCATGTCAACATTTACTAACTTGATAATGAACGTCCATTTAACACATCAGATTATATCGTAGGTGTACGAGTATACCAGGACTAAGAACGTTAAGGTAGCTGATTTTGTTTAAGTTTTTATTGGGTTTTACAAAATAAATTTCACTGAATACTGGCATTCAAACAGCATTGCACCCATTTCTAAGCAGTCTTGTTTTACTCTTAAGCTGTATAAGGATCAAGTACACAAAAATATTACAAATCATTTTTGTAGAATTTCCAAAGACTAAGTTTTTATGCTGTCAAGATATTTTGTAAAATCTAACTGTATTGTATATATTGATGCTTGTATTAATAAGAATGAAAAGATCAATCAGTTTTTGAATAGTTAGATTACATAAAAATAAATAAAAAGATATAATTCAAAATGGAAAGGAGAGCGGTTTGCCTTTGCTGACCCCATTTTCAATATTAGTAGCCATGCAAGACTGTATATACTCCACCCATTTTTCAGCTAAAAGATTTGAAAATATATATAATAACTGATGATTACACTAGGTATTTATAAATCCCTATTTCACTTACACCAACAATCTTTTTTGTTCTTCAGTAATAAAAATGTGTTCCGCCATCCAATCATCTAGTATGTCTCTTTCTCTGTTTTAAAGAGTCCACTTCTAGAGAGAGAAGCAAACCAAAATGCTGACTTTAGTTCTATTGTTCTGCCCTTTCTCAATATGTTCCACATCCACCAAAATAAATCTCGTACATGTGCGCATGGGTATAAGTTGGTTGATTTTTTTTAAAGATTTTGTCAGTATAGTATAGTACAAAATATGATTGGTTGCACATGGTAATGGTTATGTATTGAGATGTCACATTTCGTTTTTTGTTCAGCAAGTTTGTGTTTTTACCATGGATTTGGGGAGTATTAGGGATGTTTTTATTTACATGGATAAAATAAGAATGTAAAAATTGTTTACTTTAAATTAGACAACTATTGACAGGTTAGTATACATGTTACAAAAATAATCATGTCAGCAAAATTTCATGTATCATTTTACTGTATTTCTTAGAAATCGAAAAAAAATGCATTCAATTTTTTTTACACCTTAACCTTTTAAAAGTATACCAATTTCTTCCACAAAAACTGAACAGAACAAGTACCATTTATAATGCCATTATTTTGAGATTGAAATACATTTTGTTGTTTATTTAACAGGGTATGGTAGAAGCAGGAAACCTGAAACCAGTTACTGTCACCTGGTCTCCACCTCCAGGTCATGATGTATGTATACAAATACTTCAGATAGTCACTGTTATAGGACTCAATGCTATATAGCCTTTTTTGTGTTAAGGAAAGCAAACACAAATCAATCACTGTTATAAGATAGGGTTAATAAGGCAACAGACCAGCTAAATCATATTTTGTAAATCAATTGCTGGACCTTTGATAACAATTAAAAACAGCCTTTAGTTAATTGTTATTTCAATGGATTTTTTTCAAAATTGAAGTACTATAGAACTTTTTCTGTATCAGTATTTTAGTTGAACTGTATTGCTTGAGTCAGACTAACCATCAATTTTTTTTAACTCGAAAATCTGGTGTAGAAATGTATTTTTTTAAAGTTTATTTACAGTCTTGTTTGTGCATATCTATGTTGTGATGATATAAGTTTGTATTTAGGTTCAGTTTGATGATAAGGTAAAGTACCAGTAGAGCTGGACCGGTATACAGGCTACCTTAGTCATTTAGTTATATAGATCAGGGTTTATGAGGAGCATGTTCAATGATATATATGTATAATGGAATATTGTTGCTTTTATTTGCTCATAAGATAATTGATGGGAATATGAATAATTTTCAAAGGAATTAACTTTTTGAAAAAGTTACATAATTAATGTGTATTTAATTCAAAGGCTAGACTAGAGGACAATTTTTACTATATTTAAAAAATCTTAACTTTTATATTGCAATTGGAATTCTATTGGTCCCAAAAATATTTTTTTGTAAGTAAGTTATTTTGTTGTATACACAACATTCTTTTTATATTGGATAAGATGATATCTGAACTCATGTGTACTTGCATGTACACATTTGAAAATCGTATAAGGTTCCTGCATGAATGCTTTATGAACACTAAAATTATTTCACAGCAAATTATATTATGAATGTTCACACAATGTAGCTCACATTAATCTTTATTACTAAATTTGGAATGTGAATTATCAGTATCAACCAAGGAAGACAATACTGCAGTATCATCCACTATTTGTCTGCCTATGAGGATATATCAAATATTCATGTAACATTTTGACTTCAATAGACAAAAATGTCTGATTCCACAAAGCCAAATTGATTGCTGTAAGACTTCAATGGGTCCAGTGCAGCAAAAACTCCAGTCAAGAGTTGCAAAAGCCAAAGTAGCATTTAGGTCTATACATACAATTATGTGAAATACTGAGACAGTTTTCTGATGTTACTTAATATGTCTTATTACTAAAAACTGGAGCTTGCTAGCAATTTAAGAATTGTAGAGGTAAAATCAACAATATATGATTTAGGCAGGGTTATTATGTTTAATCTTTAAATGCAAAGAATTCGTAAAAACTAAAGGAAATAGAATATGGGTGTTGGTATCAGTGTGTTAGAATGTCTCTCTCTTCTTAATTCTATCTCTAGAGGGAGTTGACTAGAATTTTTTTATTAAACACATTTTATTTGATATTTCTTTTATTTATATCATTTGGATTATGAAAATATTCCAACTCATATGATTATGATTGTCACTGAATGAAAATAACACTTAATTAAAAAATGTGTACATCCAAAGCCCTTTTCTGGATTAATCTTCATCAGGAACATCCAAAGCCCTTTTCTGGATTAACCTTCATCAGGAACATCCAAAGCCCTTTTCTGGATTAACCTTCATCAGGAACATCCAAAGCCCTTTTCTGGATTAACCTTCATCAGGAACATCCAAAGCCCTTTTCTGGATTAACCTTCATCAGGAACATCCAAAGCTCTTTTCTGGATTAATCTTCATCAGGAACATCCAAAGCCCTTTTCTGGATTAACCTTCATCAGGAACATCCAAAGCCCTTTTCTGGATTAACCTTCATCAGGAACATCCAAAGCCCTTTTCTGGATTAACCTTCATCAGGAACATCCAAAGCTCTTTGCTGGATTAACCTTCAGGAACATCCAAAGCCCTTTTCTGGATTAACCTTCATCAGGAACATCCAAAGCCCTTTTCTGGATTAATCTTCATCAGGAACATCCAAAGCCCTTTTCTGGATTAACCTTCATCAGGAACATCCAAAGCCCTTTTCTGGATTAACCTTCATCAGGAACATCCAAAGCTCTTTGCTGGATTAACCTTCAGGAACATCCAAAGCCCTTTTCTGGATTAACCTTCATCAGGAACATTTAAAGCCCTTTTCTGGATTAACCTTCATCAGGAACATTTAAAGCCCTTTTCTGGATTAACCTTCATCAGGAACATTTAAAGCCCTTTTCTGGATTAACCTTCATCAGGAACATCCAAAGCCCTTTTCTGGATTAACCTTTAGCAGGAACATCCAAAGCCCTTTTCTGGATTAACCTTCAGGAACATCCAAAGCCCTTTTCTGGATTAACCGTCATCAGGAACATCCAAAGCCCTTTTCTGGATTAACATTCAGGAACATCCAAAGCCCTTTTCTGGATAAACCTTCAGGAACATCCAAAGCCCTTTTCTGGATTAACCATCATCAGGAACATCCAAAGCCCTTTTCCAGATTAACCTTCAGGAACATCCAAAGCCCTTTTCTGGATTAACATTCAGGAACATCCAAAGCCCTTTTCTGGATTAACCTTCAGGAACATCCAAAGCCCTTTTCTGGATTAACCTTCAGGAACATCCAAAGCCCTTTTCCAGATTAACCTTCATCAGGAACACTCAAACCCCAAAAATTGAAAACCAAGTATGTATAAAAACTTGAAAACAAACAAGATCAACCTGTCTATTAGGGAAATACTAGGAATATTTCACATGAACAACTTTTAGCATTATTCAAGACTGACGGTTTGCTTATGTGAAAATTATTTTAGCAGGAATCTTTTGTATTGATCAAAAATGAACAGCTGATTTACATTTCAAGTCAATATTGTGGTCACAGACTCACAGTATGATCCGATTTTTACATTAAATATTATTTTGAGTGCATTTAGAGACAATTTTCATTAGCTTCATGGTAAACCAAATTTTCTATCAGGAATTGATACTTAATTCGGAAATGATTTGTTCTTGCATCAGATAAACAAAACCTTAGTGTTTGGATTTACCTGTAATGATGAGAAATGCCAAGAATGCAGACTATTATTATGAATTATCTCTCAGTACCATGTGATCCATATTATTGTTAAAATATGTACAAGAAAATCTGTTTAAGATTGTAAACTGTTTACATGTCTTTGAAGAAAATTGTCAGTGTTTGTATTGTAGCAATAATAACATCTTAGCAAGGTCAGAAGTTTTGGATTCAGGAATGCTGTAAAATTCAAGAAGGAAAACAAAATAGAACAATTATTTAGAAGAGTATTGAGATTAAATCTTCAATCTACTTTGCTTTAATCTTAATCTGAGGCATATGCTATAGTATAAAATGATATTACAACTTCACATGTTTTGTTAATCTGAGGTTTGTCTAGTCTCAAAATTTACCATATTTTTCAAACTTTCTTTGCAGCCAAATGAGCCAGTTGAAGCCAGTATTATCTTGACATTGAAAGGAGACATTACAGAGCAAGTCAAGGTCATGTTGAGGGCATATGTTGTGTCAGATGTAGAAGATAAAACTGAGAAAACAGAATCAACAGAAAATACACAGACATAAATTATAGAGACAAATAGATATAATTAAAAAAATTGACATCTAGCCTTAATTTTGAAAGGGAATTATGATTGCATTCTGTTGAATTGAAATCATATAGATGTAATATATCTGGAGTTTTGATTTGATTCCAACGCTATACTTTATACAATGAAAAAGTTATACCAACAGAGTTGACAATTATACCACTTATTCTCTTCAAACAATTTACATTTATTGTATTTCACAAGAATAGAAATAACAGGAGAGAATATTTTTAAACTCGGCTTAAAATTAATATTGCTTGTCAGAAGTGAAAAAAGTTTATTATTTTCTTTGAGACATTTATTAAAGTCCAAAAAGCAATATTATCTGATGAAATATAAGTAAAGCAAATAAGACAATTGTTTTTACAAAATCAGATGTTCTTGAAACTTTACTACTTTGATTAAGATGGAATTATGCAAAAATATCAAAAAGTGTTCCTATTTCATTGTTTACTTAAAATTAAATCCACTTTTAAATTCCTAAATTAAAAAACCAGTAGATATTGTGCATTTCTTTTGTTGTTTTGAATATTTGCATGATTTGAAGAGAATTGTTTATTTATTTATTTCGTAAGTTTTATAAATATTTCAATATTTTGTAATTGAAGTAAACAAACTTAGATATGCATATTTATATTTGTTAAAGACTACTTTTACATTCTTTTTATTTGAATTGACTGTGATATTAATGACTGTCCATTTTTTAATAAATTGTTAAGATCTTACATTGGTGTTTTTTTTGTAATGCAATAAATATTATTCCTCAGAACTCGTTGATGTTGACTTTTAAAATTATATGCCAAATTATGGTTTTTACTTGATTTCATGTTTTGCAGAACATGAAAATGTTTAAAATTATATGTAAAATTATGATGTGAACTTTTAAAATCAGATGCCTAAAAAAGGTTACAGCTTGGGTATCATTAGTAATTCTCAACACAAGGAATTGACAAATATGGCAGTATTTACACCACAAATTTCACTCTGAGTACAAACCGACCTGTGTACCTGGAAAAGTTTTAAGGCATGGCTGGACCTAGGATATTTCTTTAAAATGCTGTATTGACTTACTGTGGATTCATACCAATTTTCGTGGATTTCGCATGTATAGGCAAACCACAAATTTAAATATTAAAGGATGTGCAAATATTCTATAGACTTATATGCAGACTTTGCCAAACCAGAAAATCAAATATCTATGAATGCATAATTTATACCTCAGTCCATTAAAATTGGTACCCACGAAAAAATAAATGAATCCATAGTAGTTAGTTCAGTCTATTTCCTCATCAAAGAGGAGTTATCTCCCATTTCCCCCCCCCCCCCCCCCCCCCCCCCAAACATGTATAGTGTTTGGAGAAATCATGCATTTATCTTACTTAAAAATAAAACATTGCAGATAATGAAAAATTATCATAGGCATTTTAATGACTAGTCACATACCCCACACTTTAGTTGTTCTTCTCAGAAAAGGCTTCAAACTAGTTTAACCCCGCCACATGCTGTATGTGCCTGTCCCAAGTTAGGAACCTGTAATTCAGTGGTTGTCGTTTGTTTTTCGTTCATTATTTTGTACAAAAATTAGGCCATTAGTTTTCTCGTTTGAATTGTTTTACATTTGTCATTTCGGGGCCTTTTATAGCTGACTATGCAGTATTGGCTTTGCTCATTGTTGAAGGCTGTAGGGTGACCTATAGTTTGTTAATTTCTGTGTCATTTGGTCTATTGTGGAGAGTTGTCTCATTGGCAATCATACCACATCTTCTTTTTATATTCACTGATATTTTTTTGGTAATCAAACAGATCAAAAGGGTTGAATGACAAAAGGCAGAGCAATCGTTAGCAAGGGAATATTTCAACTCCTGCACATATTCATGGTATATTGACCTTCATTCTACTCCTCATCCATTGTCAATGAAAGTTATGCCAAAAAACATAATGCATCTTAAATCCTAATTATTCTAAGTCTTGCCCTAATCAGCTAAGGCTCTATTTATCATCTAAAATTCCAAATTTCTGCACAGATTTTAGACTTTTTTTAAATTACCTTGAACTTCAATGTATTGAAATCAAAATTAGAAATTTTCCTTGCATTAAAAGTGACCATACAATATAATAGTTCAAATCCCCAAAATGGTTCATTTAATATTAAGAACCTCCTTTTCTGCTCAATTGTCAGTCTATTTTTAGAATCTTTGACATTGACCTTAAACGGAATTAGGATATTTCTTATCATGTGACTATATACCTTATTGTGGTCAGATCCTGATTAAGATTCTTGGATCAACACCAAAATGTATTTAAGATTAAGATTATCTGCACTTAATTCAGTTACATACCAATATATTGATCTTGGATATATTGACTTTAAAATAGATGTTCATTTATCTCATTTAATGTGACCTGATAATGCTCTCTGCTATAATTGTTCATCATTCAATGTTGTATAAATCAATCTTTTTGAATTATTTCACATCACTTCATACTGGAGCATTTTATACAGTACTCTACACTCTACAGTATGGGTTTTGCTCATTGTTGAAAACAATATGGGGACTTGTAATTGTTCACATCTTTATTTTGCAATCATACCACATCTCCTTTTTTATATCATATTCAAATTGAGTTTGTTTCAAAATAATCTTTTAAGTATCCATGACCTATTTCGTTCAAGTGTTGACGCTCACAAGCTAACATTTAAAAACAGTCCAAAAATACATCTTTTTCCAATATGTAACAGTTTGACGTCGCAGCAAAGAACATTTTACGTTAGCAAAGTCATTGCATCCCCTGTAAACACACAAAAAAACTTTCAAGTAGCCGTAAATTACTTAAAATGAGAGGATTAATGTAACAATAAATACATTTTGTACATTTAACCTTATGTTGTGCTGTTTACACCACTATCCCAGGTTAAATTAGATACATTCTTTATGAACTTGACCCCAGTCAGGAGCCTGTAATTCAGTGGCTGTCATGTCTGTCATATTTAATTTTCCTAAATTGTATTTTATTAATTAGGCTGTTAGTTTTCTTGTTTGATTGTTTCACATTTTTCATGTCTGGGCCCTTTATAGCCGACTATTCAGTGCAGGTTTTTACTTAATGAAGGCCAAACAGTGACCTATAATTGTTTATACCCAAATCATTTGAACTCTGGTGGATAGTTGCCTCATTGGCAATCATACCACATCTCCTTACTTTAAAATAAACTAATCATAGTAATCCCATTCCTTATAATATAGACTCCATAAGCACGTACACAGAGAACTAAATATTGAAGATAGAGATGTGTTCTTTAGGAATATTTATCAAAAAGTAGTATTTCACATTCAGCCCCATTCTTCTATTTAGTCAGACGTCAGTCGCTACCCTGATATACTATATCTTTTGTTTTATTTTTATGACGGAAAGTGTTTGACGTCTTTAGCCGAACAGTTTTATCATATTCACATAATTCAATTTATTGTGTGCTGGTTTATATTCTGGACGCCAGTCTGCTCCTTTCTAATAAAAGCCACATAACAAAAAACAAATATGAAGCTTAGAAATGGAAAAATATTAAATACTAAACTCGTTCAAAGGGTATCTACACGTCTCAATCTTCAAAATTGATTATCTAAAAATACTACCATCGCTAACATTTTTAACAATAAAAATCGTGGTTACCCTTCTATCGATAAGTGTCATGCCAAAATATTACTTACATGTCCCTGTCTTTCCACCAACAATACGGTAAGGTCCACGTTTAATGGTCGCACATTTTCTTTAAATTTTGAAACTGATATAACTTGAAAAACAAACAGTATTATATATTTTCTCACATGAAACAAACCGGGATGCGATATTCACTACGTAGGTGAAACTGGACGATATTTATCTAAACGCACGCAAGAACACCTGTATCGTTTTAAAAGACCTAATAAATTCAAAAGTATCACTTATCAACATCTTAAAAAGCACAATCAACCTATTAAATATTTAACAGTTCAACCTTTAGAAGTAGTAAATAAGCAAACTGGTGAATCTCGTTCAAAGTTTGTACGATCACGGAAAATAATTGAATAAAATTGGATTAAAAAATTACAGACAGTCTACCCTCTCGGTCTTAATGATAATATCATGGAATTGGTAATATATCAAGAACCGATTCTGTTCACATTTTGGATATAGTTTCTAAAACTGTTCGTAAAAACCGTTCTCATGGGCGTAGAACAAATCGCAATGAAAGAAAATTTTGGACCAACAATACAAATATTTCGGACCTAATTTCTATTTCAAAAAAACAACGGAAGACATTATCTATTAACCAAGCTCTGTTCTTTACCTATAAATAAATTAAATAAAATTTTAGAGGATTGCAACACAATTTCATATTGCAGTCCTAAGTATGAAATCGTTCAAATTATAATGGCATATTGTTATTCTAAACTGTTTCCCAAAATTGATCGCCCTGAAGATCATGAAAAACATTTTATTAAAATAAAGTACCCGTATGTCAATAAAGGTTTTGATTTTGTAAATATTGCCGGTATTTTTAACGACCATTCTGTTAAAGAACAAATTCCTGGATATTTTGATAATACTGAACTCCCTCTTATTTGTTATATTTACAAGAAATCTACCCGAAAATTTGTGTTTAATTATAGCCAAGTCTGTAAAGATGTAAATATCAGTGAAAATACACCTCCGTCATGTAATTGTTAGTCTTGTATCATTTTTAATTTTAGTTTCTTGTGTATAGTTTAGTTTAGTTTGATGTCCATTATCATTGAACTAGTATACATATTTGTTTAGGGGCCAGCTGTAGGAAGCCTCCGGGTGCGGGAGTTTCTCGCTGCATTGAAGACCCATTGGTGGCCTTCGGCTGTTGTCTGCTCTATGGTCGGGTTGTTGTCTCTTTGACACATTCCCCATTTTCATTCTCAATTTTATTAAATGTTCTTCATGAAATAAAATATCTAAACTTTATTGATGTGCAATATGGATCATTAAATAAGATATATTTATGATGTTACAATGAATAAGAATGTAATTAATTCTAACATTTACAACATTTACATCGACACCCTGCATTAAAAAATCCTATAAATGCAAATACAATACACAAGTTATACTATAGGGGAAAAGCATGGGGTGTTTAATTTCGTATGAAATTTTCATGAACAAACAAGGCTTAGGAAATATAATTCTTCTTGAAAACAGTAAAAAAACAATAATATTTTTGTTATTATTACATGTACAATTTAAACAATATAAGCACACACCTGTAATTTTTTCTACTGTATTAAAATATATTATAATTTAAACAAATTAGATATGTCCTGTGAACAGCTGTTATTATTCCTTATTAAATTGTGCATACTTAGGTCAAAAGGGTATACCTAAAAACCTAAAAGTTAAATCTCAACCAATTTCATAGAAAATTTTACAATAATTTAGAACAAATTTAAATATAGCTTTATATAACAAAAGTAATGTGGTTGAAATAAAAGAAGAATGTGTCTGAGGACACAAATGCCTCGCTCAAGCTTTACAACGAAAATAGGACGGACGGACGGATGGATTGATACCAAAAGATCGAAAGACGGACAGTCAAGGGTAACACTTAATGCCCCTGTCGCCTACGTTGGGGGCATAAAAATATAATGAAAATTCATGTTATGCGTTTGAAAAATCATTAGCCATTCTCAATCTAAATACCTAATAAGATGGGAGATATCTCTTGTTGTACATCCATAAATTTTCATTTTATATCCTGATCAAAAATCTTTACATTTAAATTTTGAATTACTGGACCAAGGGGCCTCATATTTTGCATACAATTGAGACACATGGATGTTTTTGCAATTATATACCAGATTTCAATGCTGTATCATATAAGAACCTATTTTGAAGAGGACTTAACACGAGGGGTTGACCATGCTGTCATAATATGATAACTTATTCTGTTATACTTAGAAACGGATATTGGGCATATACTATCAGATTGATGCATTTTTGTAGGTACATTTTTATGTAATACAATTTGATAACCGATTTTAGACCAAACCATTTATTGTATTAATTTAAACTCTCTTTACAAGCGTTTTGATTAGTATGAGAGCTCTAAATAACACCAATCACACAGGCATTATATATAATTAATTTTTTTTCTTCAGAGACAAGTGCCTGTGACCAATTACCTTATGCATCTTATAAAATATATACAATAGAAAAACTAAAATATTTCAAATTATTGGCCTTCCAGTGATAGAACTAATCAGTTATTTATAAGTGACCAAAATATGTCCATGTATGTGTGTTCCTCATTTTGAGTACTTATATCTATCCAAAAATGTATGAGAGGGAAATCCTTAACTAAAACCAAAAACATATTGTAAATGAATCGGTTTATTGTTTTAAAGAAACAAACCAACTATTGATGAAATATGTGCTTCGATGATTGTTTTTTACAAATTTTGAAATTCTGTACCAAAATTGCATTCAACAGCAATATGTCACACTAGTTAATATTTTGATTTATAAAAACAAGTTAAATTGTTAACAATATATTTCAAACTAATTACATTCAAATTCGAGAATGTATCAACAATCTTCAGATTATGATCCTCTAAGTGAAACAAATATACAGAAAATTGCAGAAGTGCCCATGTATAAGCCGCGTTGTGATATCTATGGATTTGTAGTACAAGAAACTGATTTCTCCGACGAGTATAATAAATCTTGGCAAAGATTGTAAAGTCTGTAGATAATGTTTGTCAAATGATAGAAAAATAGATTTCCAAAATTTCCGTCTATGTATAACTTCTGTATCCTTGATCGAAGACTCAGTTACCTAAAAAAAACACCAACAGAGCTCTTATTCATCTCATGATGCACCACCCAAAAAATGGTAAAGATTTCATTTATGGCTCAAAAGATATTGTACCAATCCATTTCACTAAAAAAAAGTCTTTTTATATTTCCTGTGACCATGACCTTTGACCATCACATAAATAGGGTTTGTTCTTTCCAAAAGACGTTCTCCAGGTAAGTTTTGCGAATGTTAAACTTTTGGCTCAAAAGATAACACCGGAAAAACAAATGTCTTTCCCATTTCAGTCTTTTTAAGCATTGCTAGCATTGCTCTGAAATAGGCCTTTGACCAAAATTAGTTGGTGTTTCATTATCTGATGGGCCATTATCCAATTTGATAAAGGTTTGACATATAGTTAAAAAGGTAGCACATAGACACCATCGATCTTCACAATATCTGATGTTATCTTGTTCAGTCTTGATCTTTGACTTACTGATCCCAAAAATCAATACTAGGGCACTTCCTCATCCCATTCGTCATTTTCTCAACAAGTTTGGTTAAATTTGAAAGGTTGTTTAAAAATATAAACAAAAGTACGGAATTCCATAGTTTTTATATAATTTTATTTATTAATGCACATTTCGTCACATTCCGTGCAGAAAACTTTATTATATACCCTTTTTTACTTATTGGGGAGTGAATTTATTTCAAAATATGTATAACAAGTATGTTAAAAAATTGAAAACAGCACGTTTAATAATTTTATGCGTCCGAAAGCGCTTTTCTGGATTTACCTTCATCAGGAACGCTCAAAGCCAAACATTTGAAATCCGAGGGATGTATAAGCACCGAAACAGTTGAAGAGCTATATGACAAAAATACCTAAAACAAATAGCCAAATTCATCTAAGGTCAACTTTGCCTGAGGGAGTTGAAACCTTAGTTTCTTTATAATTTTAAAATTTATAAACGGACAATTTTAGAAAGGTTTGTTATAAATCATGCCAATACCGAAGTACTGACTACTGAGCTGATGATACCCTCGGGGACTCATAGTCCACCAGCAGAAGTGTACATACTTCACCGACTTCAAATTAATACTTACTTGATCTGTGAGCTATTGCTCACAAATGATACCCCCTTTTACATACTCCGTAAATTGGTGTGAACGTATATATCTTCCACCTAACAGATGTTCCACTAGAAACTTTGTTATAAACAATGTAATAACATCTGTTCCTGTTGCAAAAAATATTCTATACCATTTATTCCGTTAGGAACGTATATTGTAATAGTTATTCCAGTGGAAATAATATTCCAGAATACTTTTTCCATTTGGAACTTATATTATGAAGGAACTTTTATCTTTATTTTATTTTACGGTATACTAATTAGTTATATAAGACTGTTTAGTCTTTTTTTATCTCTCTACACTTTAAATTATACCCCTGCTTAAGGTTAAAGTGTAAATAACTATATCCCACTAAAGAGACATCTAGTGGATACAGTGTGTTGTACATAAACTTTTACCTTTTATTGGTGGAGGATAATAGAAAAGATTTTTTTTTTGTTAAATATTAAATGTACAAATTAAACTGATTATTGGTGGAGGATAAGCAATTCCATTACTCCCAATTAGTGGAGGTGTGCCTTTATTGGCAGAAGTTAGACAGATACAGATACGTGACACTGAAAGTTGATGAACAATGTATGGAAAGTTGATTAGCAATGCATAAGAAGTTGATAAACAATGAATGTATAAAAAAAGTTTAACATGAAGGTTGATTCTAAATTTTAGAAAGCCCAGATTTGGAATAACAGAGAAAAATACGACGATTTTTAATATATGAAAATATCAGTAAATTTTTGAACAGGAAGTTGTTGAGCGATGAATTTGAAAAGACATCACACACTATAACAAATAGTTATAAAATGCTCAAATGAGGCTTGACTTTGAAATTTCAGGACGCTTTAAATTGTTATTCATAAGAAAAGTTTGACCAAAATTTCATTGGACTGACGGATAGATGTAAAGCCGTATTCCGCCTCCTTCTAAGCTGGGAAGTAGAAATGATACAAATTAAACCAATTATTTGTTACAATGTAGCAGATATATTTCATCTTGTGGTATTGTGAAAAAATAAATAATCTAGTACTTAAGCTTCGCTGTCAATTTCTATCAAACAGGAATGCTCTTCCGTTTGAAAAGTTACAAACAAGTAAGCATTTCCCCTGTTTGTCGTAATGAACTCCAGTTGGGAAATTCAGACCGTCCGATTTTGTCAAAAGATTTTCAGCACGTTTTCCATCACAACGTACTATGACGTTGGATCCAGCATCTGCAACGAAGACATTACCGTCCTCATCAGTCGTTATATTTTTCGGAATCTTCATTTTGTAAATCCATTGAAATACACCGTTTATATCGTAGCAGTATACTGAATCATCAGCTGAAAATAGTAACTTTTCTGTGCTGACGGTCAAATAGTAAACTTCCAACGCCGGCAAATCACAGAAGATAGAATGGCTGTTTAGATCGCAGTTAACTGTTTTGTCTAGACTTATCTTCTTAATGTAGTTATCACAAATAGCAAACATCATTCCATCTACACTTGATATACCATAGCATGGTGCTGAAACTTTAATAATTTGGCATGTGGTACCCTTTTCTAAATCAATTATCTTTATGCATTTTTCGGAAGGATAAGAAATTCCGACAGTATAATTCTCAATCTTAGTTATTCCCCATGGGAAAACAGACAACCGCTGGAATCGAGTTGAGTCATCTGCTATATTCTTTATTATCAAACGGCCATTCAAGTTGTCGACAAGAACTATTAGTTTGCCAATCATAACACAATCCTGTATATTTACCGACAAAGGTTTGAAGCGAAGCACTTCCTTTCGAATGGTGAAAGAACATGAAGCACTGGATTCAATTGCTTTAAAATACAATGTATGTGATTAATTATTTTCTTTAAAAATACAATGTACTTGCAAAAGCGATATATTGACAAGTTTCATTTGAACCACACGTATGTAATAGACATTATTGCACAAAGTGACTGAAAGGTTCAAAACTAGAACTAAAACAGGAGCATTCATAACAACCATTAGTTTACTTGTTGGGATTTAAAATTAAAATTAAATGAAATATTAACATAGCATTTTTTTTTTATTTGTTTAGAATGAAAAATTAATTCAGACAATACTGTTAAGTTGTTAACCAATCTGTTTGCGATCAACGCTTATGAATAATTTTCTTCAGTCAACATATCTTATTAAACATTATCAGAAATTGTATTTGGATGTTAGTAATACCTTTTGTGTTAATTGGCAATTTCAGGTGGATATCAGTTTCATGGTAGTCTTTAGGCGAGGATGTTTTCTTTTTAATGAAATTTACAGTTGCTGTACAAACTTCATTTTCTTCTGTAATCCTGGACGTAAACAACCTAAGATTTAATTTCAATTCTCCATCGTTGTTGCTGCCATGACTGTCATCTAGAAGAAATCAATGAGAAATAAACGTATCACGTCTTACAGACAGAACATTTCTTACAAAATTATTCATTAATTGTTGAAGAAAGAAGTAATAGATAACAAACGGAAGGTTGTTAACCGAAGAAACAGTACAAGAACATAAGCATCTAAAGCTTTAACTATCAACAACAGCCTTTGAGTTTTCTGTGATGTGCTTTGTATACTGTTATTTGTCTTTTGGTCGTTTTTTTTCATTTCTTGCTCTCTTTGAGATATCAAAGGCTTAAAAAGTATGCAAAACTTATTTAAAGTGGAACGAACCATATGAATAAAGACACGGAATAATGTCGGTGAGACTGCTTTCTAAAAGGGAATAAACCTTTCAGAAAATGAAATTTTTATTATGTTCACCCACCATATATTAATTTTGAATTTATTCAGATTATCATGACCTCGAACAAAAACCATCTATGTAGTCAAACAAGTTTATTATTTTCAATTTTCAAAGTAATTGGTAGAACATAATATATATTTTCCACGAGTACAACATTTGATATGGATATTTTATATATTTTTTAATATTATTACCTGTTATGGTACTCTCAGGAAAGACTAACACATCTACACATGTTGTTTTCACAGTTGCACACTGCAAATGAGACCTGAACGCAATTAAAAGCCGCTTTAAAAGCATCTTACTTGCTGTTAAAACCAAATCTTCCATTCCATTGACATGTTGTTTAACAGCAAGAACAATGCGTCCCTCCTTTTTTCCTTTCAGGAATGCACCATCTATTTCACTACATGTACTCTTAAGGTACTTGACGATTTCCTCCGTTCCTGAATTTTCTATTCCTACTATCTTGGCTGTCAGGTTGAGGCTCATTGATTCAAAATCTTCAAAGGAAAAGTTATATATTTGATAAATAACTTGATTTTGTTTTATTATTCAACCATAATAAATAGGACCATACAAAAACTTTACGAAATGTTTCCAAATAGAGACATTTCAACAGTCTTGAATTTGTGTAAAACATAGTTTTGTACTTTTCCAAAAACTTAATACATATACATTTATACCTCTAAATACAGATAAATAGTTTGTATTAACATACAGTAAAATCAATCAAACTAAATGTGGTAATGATTTAGTAGAGATTTCCAATAAAATGACATTACACGACATAACCAACCTATCTGAACGTATCTCGGCCTATTGCATTGAATCATGACGGAGGGGAGCATAGACTGCATGGATATTTAGCTCGTTGAATACACATACATGTTGGAAAAGATGCTATTTAAAAATTACCCCAATCTGCTATTTTACTTCTTTATATATTTTGTTATTTAATTCGGGATAATTTTTTTGAAAACAACTTTTAAGCGAATAATTATTCCAGTTACCGGTAATCAAATGCACCGATCATTGCTTCGTCATTCACTTGACCCATATATTTTATTCTCAAAGGTTGAATTATTAAAACTACTAAATCAAAACTTAGCTTGAAAAAATAAAAATAATGAAATCGGAAGGGAGATGATATTCTAATTTTTTTATTTATATTAAATTTTACGGTTTAATCAGGAGTTTCAAACACGCCGGACTGTAAAAGGTTTATACGTCTTATTCTTTAAAGCACACTTCTATAATCAATTTCAAGATACTTTTGTGAGAGGTAGAAATTGAGACCAATAATGCATCTAGTACATAACAATTTTTCATCTTTCCGTAGAATATTTTCAATTAGAATTTATTAGGATTGCATCTTCAAGGAAAAAAATATGATTACACTTCCCTAAATTCAATCAGTTATTTTTTTAAATTCTTGTCTTTAATTATAATGATGCAAGTGTTCTATGAAAAGTCTGTACACATGTATGCGTTTAAAGTCGTTGCTCAAAAATTGTTTTTATGAAATGTTTGGCGTTTAACTTGTGCTAATACGTATGAAAAACGGACCTACATGGAATATTTGATTTCAGTTTTGTTAAGAAGGATGATCCTTTTATTTTTATGATCAACTTATGATAGCAAGGGGATATTCTATTTTCTAGTCTGTGCGTCCATTCGTTCGATTGTCCCATTCCAAATATAAAACTTTTAAAATTATATACTAAATTCAAGTTTGGCCTGGATTAAGTGGTTCACTGAACATGGAAATGTGATAATATGAGAGGCATGGTGTATCAAGGCCACGTATATTTGTTTAAAAGGGTTTGAATATACATGTATATGTATATGTGTATCTTGCATATTCATAACCACCTCTTTGTTCTTGTGGTAACGTGCTAGCATCGACAGTAGCGTAACTTGAATTTTATTTCTAATGAGGCAAAAGATTTGAATCTTGGCAGTCAAAGCCTCAACTTGGTTAAAAGACCGCAATGCCAATAGGTAGTTGACGGTTAATAGCAAATCAGAATCGCAAAATAGTTTTCAGCTTTTACAAATGCAATACAAAAAATCGAATTTCAAACAGGTTTGATTGATTGATTGATTGCTGTTGCCTGACATCAAGTGACAAAAACTACATGCATATTCAGGAAAAGTAAAACAAAATAACTCAATAATATGTAGACTGGGTCGACCAGGACAGCAGCATGAATTTCAACTGCAACTTGAAAATGAGAGCATGTTAGCCAGTCTCGTATCAGTCCCTTATGGATCCCTGTTTTATTTTTTCTGTAACGTGTAGATCTAATAATTGCACTTTCTCTTTATTTGATTGAACGTCCCCATTTCAACTGAACGTGGCTGTGTATTTATACATCTAAGACAACCAAACGGACCACCCTTTTACGCATGGGTTATACTGTTGCATAGGATCTTATATAGAATACATACTGGTACATCCAGCAACGCTGAACGAACCATCCATTCCCCAAAGGAGAGGGAGTTCAGGCGTCGATACTCTTGATTTGTCACATACTAGCACATAGATACTGTCTATGAAAAATCCAGATTTGTGGAATTTCATCATGAAATCATAATATTTTCCAATGTGCATTAAATCCATACATTTCAATGAAACTGCTAGTTCATAGTTTAGTTCTAAGTATTCAGTTACAGACAGGTCCTGATCAAAACACTTTTTTTAACGAAATCTTATAATCTTATGTTTTCTATGTTTCTTACCAAACACGTTCACTTCAATGATTTATGCAGTAAAATCAAATTCTGTGACCCCAATTGTTTTATTAATAAAATGGATAAAATACTATAAGTTAATATACATCAAGGGATATAAAATATTTTGCCTGGACATGTCTTTTGTATTTGGACTCGTATAGCATTCCCGTTAAACAAAACAACACAGAACAACGCTTAATCGAGCACACCTTTTAGTATATAACCTAATAGGGATTTTTTTCTCTATACGTTTTATGATAAAAAGAAAATACTTTTATTTAGAAATCAAATGGAAGCGATATTTTTGACAAACGCTGATTCTGACATTTCTGAAATTGTCAGAAAATTATCTTCCTAATAATCAAACCATGAAAGATAACTCTAATCGATCGTATGATAGTTAAGGGATACGTGTAGTTATACGTGAATTTATGTTAAGGTGGGAATCTAGAGAATCACGTGATAAATAAAAATGCATGATTTCTCTCATTTTTCATCATGGTAAAATTATCTTATATAGACGAAAATTCCAGAACATGATTTTAAGAATCTTGGAATAATTTGTTTAAACTTGAGCGACGTATTTAATCAAGTTCAATGTTGGCAATAACCAGTCCCATTAGGCCCGTATGTCGAGTTACGTACGTATGTCATTTTATGGAAATCTCTACAATGAAACGAAACAACTTAACAAAGAAAGGAGTTAAATAAAGCAGATAAAAATGAACTCACTACAGCAAATCATGCAATTCATTTGTCGTCGATCTGGTGATTTTTTACGTTTCTGCTTTCATCAATGTCAGATGTAATGTAAACATTAACAACAGGTTTTGTCATACCGTGTTCGAATAGATAGATCTTGAAATATTTTGTTTCCTATTAAAAAAAAGCCTGTGGTTATAACATACCTGCTTGTTTAACATAAGCATAAAACTGTTTACCACAATAAAGTCGGATGTTCACGTTTGTTGTCTTTGTTATCATTTTACCTGCATAGATATAAAAATACAATACACGAAAAACATGCAAAATTATTTAACTGAATATGAATAACGAATTGGTAATTATAATGTCTATCATATTGGATCATACGATTTTCATAAAATATACACCATTATGATAAGGAAACCTATTATAAATAACATATTAGGCAAACCAATTTGTACCAATGAATACATAAAGCTAACAAACAGTGGTTGTGTGCAGAAAATGCCTGTTCCAAGTCAGGAATATGGCAGTTGTTTTTCACTTGTTCTGTTGATTGATAGCGTTCGATTTTGTCAGTTTTTATGGACTTCCCCTTTTTGAATTTGCCTTGGAGTTCGGTATTTTTGTTATACTTTTTTACCAATTCCTTTTGGCTTTCATGCAATCTTTATCCCTCTTTCCGGAAATCGAGAGAAAAAGAGAGGGCATACTAAATGTTTTCCTAAAAGAACGTACCTGATTTAGTTTTCCTTAATGAGTTCGAAAAGAATTTTGAAGATTAAAAGGATTTAATTAAGAATCACAAATTGAACAAAAGAGAGTATTCAAAGACAATGACAAGGAAGAGTTTAATAATTTGGTGACTGACGAAATTCCAAATAAATCACATTTGTAATACGGTGGAAGCATTTTGGGGGTTAACTGTTTTTTTTTTTTTTGGAACAGTGAGGCATATAACCTTATTGTGTTCTGCCAAACGACGATTTGAGTTTGATTATCTTTTATATAGAATTGTTTCTAGAGAAGGGTGATAAATTTATTCTAAAAAGTCTAAAATGTAGAAAATTAAGTTTTATGACCTTACAAAACACTTATGTCAAATGAAAATAACTGGACGATTCTATGGGTTTTTATTATTGAAGAAATAAGATTCAGTTCTAATGAATAATGATCACAGAGACAGAAGAGACCGAAATGAATTTCAAAAACTTTTGTCAAGACACAAATTAATAATATATAAATCAAATACTTACAATGTAATGCATTAATTTCTAGCCCTTTCTTCACGAATTCGATCTCCAAATCTTGATTCAAGTATGTCTGTGATAACAGAACAATCTTCTCCTTATAGGAATTTTCCTGACTGTTTTGAAAAGAATTGTCCAAACGTTCAACAACTTTCAATATTTGCAGAAATAGTTCCTTTTCTTCTAATTCTGCTATCTCGGCTTCTGTTCTTTGAAATACGTGATTTCTGATCAATCTTATGGACTGGATTTCAGATGGCACTTCCATTTGAGCAGCATGTTCCAATATATTTGTAAATAATTCGATAGCAATATATGACATTCTAGCATAACGTTTCCTGTTCAGCCTTTTCGACGTGTCCATTGCTATAATTGGTAACCTTAAGCAGATGTTCATTCTATTTGATGTTTCATTTATTTCCACAAATTTTAGAGTTGCCTCTAAAACATTTCTATCAACTATAATTTCAGCCATGTTCAGTTCAAGATTTAACTTGAATGAATCGTCATTTTGGTCATCTACAAAATATGCTTCATAACTTCCAATAAAATACATATTTATTTCCACAAATTTTAGAGTTGCCTCTAAAACATTTCTATCAACTATAATTTCAGCCATGTTCAGTCCAAGATTTAACTTGAATGAATCGTCATTTTGGTCATCTACAAAATATGCTTCATAACTTCCAATAAAATACATATTTTGTGTTTTTGCGTTCAAGTGGTGGATTTGCAAAAGGATCAGTTCAATAGTTTCATTCCGCGATAGCTGTATAAAACATGATAGAAATTTGCATTGGAAAATCCAAGATTATTTTGAATTTGTAACATGGACTCAAGTAAAATACCTTATACCTAAGACTCTATTTTTCATGAGTGTGTTGCAAACTTCAGATGATTAATGGTAATGTTTGGTTAAGTATATAATTTATTATGTGTTTATGACTTCAATGGAATACCGCCGACTACTACGAGAATAAATAAAGCTCTTAATGATATTTTTGTGAACTTCTATTGTTTGAATATAATGAAAAAAATAATAATTACTGGTAAGATATACCTGTATATGTACTGGCTGGGTAAAGTAAGACATCTATATTTGTGGGATTGTCTGTTGACAACGGCAAGTAAGATCTGTATGTAAATGTGTTGAAAAATTGACTAATGAACGTTTTGATAGCTTGGAATTGCAAATCTTCTCTTGTAACATAACTTAATTGTGCGATGTATGCTTCTTTTTCACCCTTCAGGAATGGTTTATTCATTTCATGACAATTTTCATTTATGTACTGGGTTATTTCCTTAGCTTTTGCCTCTTCTAATCCTACTATCTTCCCAGTTACGTTGATATTATTCGATTCCATCCCTACACGTCAAAATAAATTGAGTAAATTAAACATATAGGTTCCACATGTAAAAAATATCTATTAAGCATCATTTGATTTTAAAAAATAATTATATCGATTTTTTTTTGTTCATCATAAGCCTTTTTTCGTGGCAGGGGGTTGACCGTTTTAAGAGCATTTTAACTGTAGTCGTACAGAAAACCCAGAGAAGCCAGATACTAGTAGGGCAATCAAAAACCAGAAAGCGAAGCAAAACGTATGAGAAGACGAACAGCAGTCCTCAAAACATCACGCAGAAAACAAGAGATTGATCTACACGAACCCTAATAAAAGCCGAGTGAACCCCGGTGACGTTGAAGGGTAAGTAGTCCCTTCTCAACTGGTGGCATCCATCGATCGATCAACATACAGACAGTCAGCTGTATTATGTATAGTGTTCATGATTTATCCATGACTTGGATTGAACTGTTGAAAGATTAATCCCATGCTCGCACGCCGTATGTATGTATGTATGAGTGTTTTTATCCAATAGAGTAATTAAAAAGGCAAGAAAAGATGCAGAGTTTGTGTGGACAATGCATATTTTGTTTATATATATATATATATGTACCTGAAAACTGGCTGCCACAATATAGTCGAATAATCACATTATTTCCGTGTTGTGATGTTTTACCTGTAAAATAAAACCAGACTAAATCAAAGCAAAACATTAATCAATTTAACCGTCTTAGGCTCTGTAGGGGACGAATTTAAAAGAAAAACTATGATTCTCGAAAGATATTTTCAAAGAGGTGTTTTTGCGTAAGTAAACATAATGTTGGATTGAATACATATCAGGTGTTTCTAAAGGAATTTTAAAAAGCTATTAGGAATAAGCGAAAATATAAATCAAATTCTTTATTCTTTATTCACAATATTATAAGTACCATAAAGCATATGGGTTCGTATATGAATGAATGCATGCTTAATTTAGTTGGTAGACATGTGTTTCTAGTTTAACTAGGTTAATCACCGGCAACCGGTTGAAAATTTAAAATCACTCAATATATTAAAAGTAGGATAAACACTTGAAATTAAAAACATCTTTCTAGCACACTTGCAATAATATTAACGGATGAGGAACTATAGATTTAGTATAATAAATCTTAAACAAAAGTTTTAAAGCACAGTAAAGTTTTGTAGTAAATTATAACCAAGCAGAATGAGATTTCACGCACAATTTTCTAACGGCATATCCGGGCTTTGTCACTTCTACTCATAGGATAAGTTTCAAGACAATGATTTTGCAAAATACTTGACAATAGGTCCGAGTACACAGTTATTTCGTAGTGCATTTCTTTTAGACAATAAATGAAAATAAAAAAAATCCCACCTGCGCTTTCTCAATAATATTTTTACAGTGTGTTGTACTACTTTTGGGACAAATTATATCAAAATTATAGAAAACTTCATCGGCTCTAACTCAAAATATGGACAATTCTATGTTAAGGGGGTCTTGAAATCTTTTGACAGCTTCCGAAGTGCTAATTTTTAACCTTTTTCAGCTGGACCAAATCACTACTTTACTTTACAATTCATGACCCAATTTTTTTTACAGTGTAATTTCATCCCCCTACTTGCTATTTGAGGCATAAAACATGAAGAAATACATTTGGAAGGGGTACTAAAAAAATTGGCAAGCAACACACTGTCCACACTAGGGACTTTATTCGTGGACAACGAAAATCAAAGGACGATAACTGTGTACTCGGACCTAATAGGATAGAAAAATCTGACCAATCTTAATAAAACTTGGTATGACCAAAGCTTAATAAATTATGAGACTGCTGACAAAGTTTCATGGCAATAGGATATATATTATAGACAATATGATAAATTCTATATTCAACTTCGCGTGTTAAATTTTGACGTTAAAATTGAAAAATTTCAACTATCAACATTTGGGGCTTTAAAAATTAAAATATTGCAAAAAAATACATTTTAAATGCCTTAATATATGACATATTATGTATTTAAAGCAATAGAATACTCATTTGATTTATCAGACTTATCACAATTATTTAAAAGTCAAATTTATATGAGCCTGTGCCAAAAAATGGAGGTTTTCCAATGAAGGGGGGCCTTACTTGAAGATGTATTATTTTCCAGCAATTTTAAATTTGTGGAGTTTTTTGGTTATAAATAATCCTTGCATATGTATTAAATGTACTTTAAATGGAAAGAAAAATTACAAATAGCATACTATATTAGTATAAAAGGGTCTTAAGCCAAGTAAGACTGAAAATAATTTAGGGTCAATTTAGGCCGTAGCACATATTTACATTTAAAAATGCATACTGAAGCTATAGGAAATAAAAATTTGTGTCTTTTTTATAATTTCTATACTCAGGTTACATGATACAATAAATCTGAGCATAAAAGGACTCTTGCATTCAACTTTTTTTGCAGACAGTATAGTCTGATACAAAGATTTTTCACTTTTTAGTGAAAAACTTGCATGCAATTTTAGCCTCAACAGGCTTATATTTGAACCACTTGCTATTTAATATAGGAAAAGAAAGATACTATGTGAAATGAAACAGGTACAAAAGACATTGTGAAGTGCTTTTAATGCAAATTTAGTGAAATCTTTATTATGGACTTCAACTTTTATGTACCAAGGTCCTCACATTTAACATGATCCAAACAGGCCGTTAGACGAGGGTCATTTATACAACACATTTTGCACATATTGTCTGAGATAATCTTATTTTCTGTAGATTCAGAGTTCACAAATGAGTAATACAACTGGGTTAAAGCATAGAAACACAAATATTGACACAGAAAAACTTGTCACATAGAAAGTCAGAATGCCACTTATGCATCAAAATTGAAAAAGCTTTGAAATGCTTATTTTGACCATATAATGCCAAAATGGGTATTTTTTGCAGAATTTCTATCAAATAAAAGTTTAAATCCTTTAGTTTCATGCTATTTGACAAATTGACACCATTATATCATTCAGGGAAGTTGCCAAAGTACAGATTCTATATTTACTGATTTCGCCTCTTAGGTCCGAGTACACAGTTATTTCGTAGTGCATTTCTTTTAGACAATAAATGAAAATAAAAAAAATCCCACCTGCGCTTTCTCAATAATATTTTTACAGTGTGTTGTACTACTTTTGGGACAAATTATATCAAAATTATAGAAAACTTCATCGGCTCTAACTCAAAATATGGACAATTCTATGTTAAGGGGGTCTTGAAATCTTTTGACAGCTTCCGAAGTGCTAATTTTTAACCTTTTTCAGCTGGACCAAATCACTACTTTACTTTACAATTCATGACCCAAATTCTTTTACAGTGTAATTTCATCCCCCTACTTGCTATTTGAGGCATAAAACATGAAGAAATACATTTGGAAGGGGTACTAAAAAAATTGGCAAGCAACACACTGTCCACACTAGGGACTTTATTCGTGGACAACGAAAATCAAAGGACGATAACTGTGTACTCGGACCAATAACAGATACCAAAAGTAGTTATATTTTTATTTTATCCCAGTTCTGTTATTCAGACTTTCAATTTTTCTTTGCAGTTGCAGTTCACTGTAAACCTATGTTCAAATTCCCAGCCTTCACTGTATTGGCAGGCAAATATTGTCTTACATGGAATATAAAATAGAAATGGTGTTCGAAACCGAGCATTTAATCCAAGTTTATCAAAAATATCTTCTTTACAGAAAAGAACTGTAAAATATATATTTACATTGTAGTTCTTCTACTTTTAACCCAGCCATAACATAATTATCCTCTAAGACCTTGCTCATTATCCTTCCAGAAAGTCGAATGATCATCCTATTATAACTGCTCTTCTTGTCTTTTTTGAAAGTCACATCCATGCGCCTCACTACTTCTAATACTTCTTTTAGAATTTCTTTTTCCTCTTCTTCTGATATCTCAGGATTAATTCTTTGAAATATGCGATCCCTGATCAATCCAATACGTTCAACATCATCGCTGACTGAAATATCAGATGTGTGTGGTGTAAGTCTGCAACCTTGCTTTGTAGGAGGAAGAATTTTTCTTAAAATCTTTATAAGAAGATCATGACCACATTTTCTATATCCGTCCGTCTTTAAGGTTTCTGACGTTTCCTTTTCTTCAGGAGTCAGATGAACTTTGGAATGTGTGAGAATACTGTATACCGCCGTTGGTTCAACGTGGGTTTTATCTGCAATATTTTTCAAAATATCTGTGAATTTGTCGATAGCAATGAATGACATCCTAGCATAACGTTTCCTGTTCATCATTTCCTGCAAATCAAAAACTTTCACTGGGATATGTAGGCATATTGAGATGCTTTGTTCGTCGTCTGACTTTTTGAACATTAGAGTTGCATCAAAAACGTCACTATCTTCTGTAATTCCTGTCGTATTGAGTTCGACATTTAGCTTCAAAGCAGTGCAATGTTCACTAGTAACAGTCTCTGGAAAGAAGAGAAAATAATGCGATTTAAAATCTGTACTAGGTGTTATCACGAGCAATACAATCTATTTAAGGCGAAAGATACCAATGGGACATTCAAACAAGTCGAAAATAAACTGACAATGCAATGGCAAAAAAAGAAAAAAGACCAAAAACGAATTTTTAAATTAAAATACAACAACTTAATTGGTGTAGTAAATTCAACACAAAGTGCAACACAACCGTCAATATTCTACTTCTCTAGACCGATCACAGGATAATAGTCTTCAATTCAGTTAACAATTTACCAGTATTTTTATACTTGACTTTGATTTACTATTAAAATTTGAATTTGTGCGGACCATTACGATTTTGTCAAACGTTTTGAAAATGTTATCTGTTGTTTGAGGGATATCATTAGAATTACATAATTGTTCATTCAACTAGGATACCTTCAGAGTTACTAGCAGGAAAGAGTAGAACGTCTACTATTAAGCGCCGTTCCGTTGACAACTTTAAATGAGTTCTGTATTTGAAATCAGTAAAGAACTTCTTGAATGCTATATTGACAGCTCTGCAAAATAAACGTTCTGTTTCATCGCTTGATTCATTGGACAGTACTATGTCACTCTGTCTGAATTTACCATTCATCTGACGACATGTTTCATTTAAGTACTTCACAATTTCTTTTGCTGTTGTCTGTTCCATTCCTACTATCTTTGCTGTTATATTTAAGGTCTTTGGTCTCCCATCTACATTTAAAAAAGTAACCACTGACAAAAACAATAGCAATGGTAAGCTTGAGAGAAGTTTTCTTCAATTGTTCAGTTTGTTTTTTCAAAATGTGATGGAACGAAACATTTCTCAAACAGATAAGGAGTCGTAGTATTCTTTTACTGTGTTATGTTAACGGTTGTTTCATGAGTATCATTCAAATTGTGATTAAAACTATGTCAGTTATTGCATATAACTTTTCCATTTAAAGTTATTTATAGAAATGAGTAATTTATCACGTGTAGTACGCTATGTCAAACATTTGGAACTTTAAATGCTTAATCTGCCGGACCTCTAAAGTCAACTACGTTTTGGGGATCTTCGTCTCATATAGCTGGTTGTTTGCTTTGTTAATTCTGAACTTTTTCCTGTTTCTTTTACCTTTTTGTTCATTTTTTGTTTTTGTTTACGTTAACTTGATTTTGCATCTTATGCTTTGTCATTTTTAGAGAGAGAGAAACTATGACATTGGTCCCTTTTTCCTTAAAACACTTCCTGTGATTAAAATATACCTCCATGTAAAACTTCTGATAGATATTCATTGATCTGTTTACCACGATAAAGCCGGATAAATACGCCATTAGTCTCACACTTTGAGTACATTCTATCTGCAAAATCGAATTATTATCGTTATTATCATAAACACAAGTTTACATTTATAACATAGTTTCTTTGCCCTCAATCGATGAATATTGTCAAGAATGAACTTAATATTCAACAATTGATAGCATTCAGTAATATTTGAATCTTTACGTGTTATTGTGTTCTTTTCTTTGTCTTTGTAAATTATTAACCTTTACTATTTAGTCCATTTTTGGTAATATCCTTTTGGCGTGGCTCGGAACTTATGCATTCCGCCAATGTGTTGTTGTGCTGTGGTCATTTTTTTTATTCTTGTCTTTCATTTTTTGCTGATGTGCTTTGTCTATATGCCATTTTGTTTTTCTTTGTTGAAATATTTGTTTGTTTTTATAGTGATTTAGATTATAACACGATGTTGACTGCTGTACCCCTATTTTTGACATTTTTACCTATTATGTCTGTTTGTTTTGTTCACACATTGTTGTCAATATAATAGAATTTTATACGACTGTCATACAAGTGAGAGGTTTAGCTAGCTATAAAACCAGGTTTGATCCACCATTTTCTACACAAGGAAATGCCTGTACCAAGTCAGGAATATGATAGTTGTTTTCCATTCGTTTGATGAGTTTGAGCTTTTGATTTTGCCATTTCTGATTTGAATTTTCCTTGGAGTTCGGTATTTTTTTATTTTACTTTTTAAAACATGGAGATACTTTTAGATGTAAAAAATAACAGGAAAACTGTTTTTGACGCTGTAAATGCCATGTCAAATTCATTATTGTACTGATATTTAACTACTGAAAATGAAAACATCTAGATTATTTGCGAATGATAATTGCAACAAAGTACATTCAGAATACCGTCAATATTTATGTCTGATACAAATAGCTGCTTGTCCATGCTACCTAAAGCTAAAAATCCCATACTAGAATAACAGTTTTATTAATATGAATAGATTTGTTCCAACGATTTCAGTTTTAACCCACATTATCATATAAAAATAAGGAGATGTGGTATGATTGAGAATAAGACAACTTTACACCAAAATTCAAATGAAGTGAATGTAAGCAAATATAGGCAAGGGTTCGGCCTTCAACAATGAGAAAATCCCATACCGTATAGTCGGCTATAAAAAATGAAACATTTCAATTGAGAAAACTAACGGTCTAATAGTCGTTTTTTTCTAATTTAACTCATTGATCAAGAAAACCATTGGTATTAATATGATGTACAGATTCTAGATTAATATATTTTGTAAATCCTTTTAAACTTGCTGTGCTAATTGGCCACAGACTTATTATTTTGACTCGAGGCATAAATTTTCCGACATCTACCTTTAGAAGACAAATTATATTATAACCTGAAACGAGTTACATCAGGACATTAAAAAAGAAGAAATTGTAAAGGTCGTCGAAAAGTCAATTCAAATGAAACGTTCAGTCCAAACTTGATTCAAACATGAAAAAAACACTTTGATCAAGCACTTCTATCTAGAAAAAAATAACGTCAATCCACACTAGCCTTATTCATACTTACCGAATTACTTGTGAACCGATACCAAAGGGCCACATGTAAAATACTTGAAAATTTTATTCTATTTAGAATATTGTTTAACGAGAGCAATATTGCAAACATTCTACAATTGTATATCAAAAATGATCAAAACAACTTTACGACATTCTTTTTCTGAGGTACAAATAATATCATGAATCAGTACATGTTTGTCTGGAACTCCAGATTTTGCATTGCTGGCATTATCGGGCATTTCTAAATCTTCCCTGATATCAACCCACGTCTCCGACATCGAGCTGAGGGCTTTAGTAATAATGTTAAGTTTTCACTAAAATCAATATTATTTATACAGTGTTTTAGAAATTTAAAATGTAAAAATGAAAACAATCATCTTTATTTTAACTAGATGAAGTAAAGATAAGTTATAAACACATCTTAAATTTGTTTGTAAAGTAAACATATCAAAAACATATTGAATAAGATTTCACTTACATTTCAATTCTTCTATTTTTATTCCCTCATTGGAATATCTTTCCTCTAATAACTTGCACATCTTCATCTCTAGAAGTGCAACTATTTTCTGAGAATAAGCTTTTCCTTCTTTCCTATTAAAAAAAACGTCTAACCGTTTTACTACCTCTAGAATTTCTTTCTGAATATCGGAGTCTTCCTCTTCTGATATTTGCGCATTAGCTCGATGGAACACATGATTCCGAATTAGCATCAAACGTTCAACGTCCCCTCGAACTGATATATTTGATCTATATGCTGCATGTCCTTGACATGGTTTCCCGGGATGCAAAGATTCCTGAAGAATTTTGCAAAGAAGTACGAAACCGCATTTCCTGTACCCATCAGTCAATAAAGTTTCTTTTTCTTCCTTATTGTAGGTGAGATGAATTTTCAATTTTTCTATTATCTCGTATGCTTCAGTTGGATGGATTTGAGTTTCAGTAGCGACATTCCTCAAAATATCTGTGAACACATCGGTTGCAACGAACGACAATCTAGAATAACGTTTTCTGTTCATCATTTCGATCGTATCAAAAACTTCAATTGACGAGGTAAGACGTATGTCAAACATTGCGTTTTCTGTAGTTTCATTATCTTCCTTGTCGCTAAATTCAACAGACAAAGCACATATATTACTATTGTCTGTAATACTTCCAGTAGTGTTCATCTCGAGATTTAACTTCAGCCCAAGACCATTTTGTTCACTGGAAAGCTCTTTGAAAAACATGATGTAAAAATGTTACGAGATATACAATAAAGTTAAATATATCTGTTATATAGTTTAAAAAATTTAGCAAATTTTGTCCAGATCTAGATTTTTAACAGTAGTCGTGTATAGAAAAAGAAACAGAATACCAAGGGAATAAACAAAATTGTATGTCGAAGAAGAATGGACAATACCATGAACAAGAGAAAAGAAACGATTAGACATACAACATACCTCACAAAGCTACACATGAAACTAAAGATTGACCAACACGAACTAGAAATTGAAAATGTCCATGACAATTTGTACCATTGATAATCCGTATCAGTTCACCAAGTCATGATTGCGTCGTTAAAACTTTCGATTACTTCAACTTAACCACTAAGAACCTATTTCCATAGCTTGCTTGTAGAGAGCAACACGCTATCAAAAATCGTGAAAGGAAACGCGAGCTTTGAAATTATCGTTTTAACTAGGAGAAATGTGTTCCATATGAAGCGACTATTGGAAAGTTGTTAAAGGAACGAGAAAATCCCGATGGATGAAATAACGTCAACAACTGACCTGCCAACTAACCGTTTTTTGGAAAAAGTGAAAATAGTTTTCATTTGCACTGAATCAGCGTATCCCGATGAAGTAATCAGTTTCAAAATAAAAAAAAAAGAATAAAGTACATTTTTTGGTAATCTTTGTTCAGTGTTTTATGCAATTTCTTTTCTTTTACACTTGCTGTGTTTTAAAAACGTTTTCCTCAGTGATATTCCATCCGTTAATTTAGTACAATGTATAAATTTCTTTTATAAAATCAGATAAACAGAAAAGATATTCGCGTAAACTCTTGGCAAGAGAGACAGCAGAAGAGATACAAAGGTTAAATATCAAAAGTTGAAAATCAGACGATATCCCCCATAACGACGTTAATCTCAACATCTCAATAGTCTTCTTGATAAGTCCAAGATGTATGGATTAGCATATATTATATATATTTCTAATATGAAATTTTGGTATGGAAATCTTGGGGACCCCACTGATTAATGATTTTGTACAACGACTAAAAGATTGTTACGGATTTATTCAGGATTATCTTCTGTTACAAAAAAGGAAACATTTCTCAATCTGTACTGTTCTGCGCATATTAAACAAATTCAATTCCGTTTCTGGAGGTTTAAAACGAAGGAAGCAATTTTTGACTTTTCCTTTATTTGCTAAAATTTGTTGAAAGAATTAAGTTTTTTTAATTGAAGTGAGTGTTAAATTTGGGATACTTGATTAATTTTAGTTCCTTATTCTCTTTTTTTTTTTTTTACGCTCCAATACGAGCTTTTAGTTTTTTTAAACACTCATATTTTTCTTGTTGAAGATATTCTTTCAAAATTGGTAAAATGGAAATCTAAAATCAAATCAAATCTGGAAGTAATAGAATTGATTGAACTTATATCTTCTTATCCCAGTTAACAATAACCATATAGTATTTATTTAAATTATCCTTTGAGGTTAATGTCCAGAAAAACAACTCTTATCTTTATTACATTTCTAATTAATCAACACGCTCTTCACAACTGAAATCAAGTAAGGTACAACTCTTGTTTATGTTTTTGTAAGAGATAGAAGATACCAAACGGATCAAAACCTGTAAGTCGAAGAGACACATTCATGGGATATAAAGAAGTTAATACAATACAAAAAATAAACCATATGAAACATATTGATAAATAAGTTACTTTTGAACAAATAACTGTAATGTCAAGTTGACAATATCATGCTTTTAAAACGGAGCAAAACTGGGTGCGACTACATGCATCTCATTTTATGCAAACCTTCTTTTAAAAATGTATTTATTTTATCATAATTAGACATAAATTTGTTTAATATTTGCTAAGTATTGTAAACTTATATTATGAGTGTGAAATACCTTCTAAAATCTCTTCCGGGAAAAGTAGAACATCTACATATGCCATACGTTTGCTTTCTTCTGTTGCCAAATTCCAGTAATTTATGAATTTGACCAAAACCCGTTTTAAAATTATCTCTATTGCATTGACAATGCAATTTTTCTTTTGAACATCACCAATGCGCAAAGCGTGATCCTCTTTTATTGCTTCCTGGTATTCATCGTTGATATCATGGCAAATCTCTTGAATATACTCGGAAATTTTGTAACTTTTTTCTTTTTTCAAGCCAATTATCTTCGCTGCTAAGCTGATGTTCCTGAAATCTGCAATTGAAAATATATACAAAATATATATAAACTTGTTACTCTTATCGCGCTGGGATTTTTTCTTTATAGCCATCCTTTTTCAAGAATTCTCTATGTTGAAGATTTCTTTTAGCTGATGTACTGCTGTCTCTTTGTTATGGAGTATTGAAGATTATTTTTGCTAAGTCCTTGTGTCATGTGTATTACAATTCGAAATCTAATAATTGTGCTTCTTTTTATAAAACCACCATATACCCACCTGCACCAGACATTTATAATTGCATGTTTCTAATGAGGACTTTAAAGGAAACAAAATGCTATCAATTATGGTCCCAAATCAAATAATATTTGATTACAGCAGGTATACTTTAACACAATATCGAATTAGAAACCACCAAGAAAAAATAACACATCTAATGTTTATTCTTTCTCGTAAAACACAAATACTAATTTATCAACTTAGCGCAAAACCCGCGAACTGAAAAAGTTCCTTTGATTCCAATAATCCTCTCTTATATTGAACAATTAGTCTAGTTGGTATTTAATGAAATCATAAATGATTAGTATACCTGAATGCTCATCTTTGTCAATGTAAGTGTTAAGTTTATTTCCACCATAAAGGCGAATTGTAACGTTATCTTCCACCACTGTCTGCAATACTACAAAAGCAAAAATTTAAATGCCAAAGAATCTTTACAAAATTCAATTATATTACTGTATGCTGTATTCACCAATTTTACAATTGTTAGTACGAACAAAATAACTGAATTAAAAATAGCAGACCGGCAATATTGTGATTGTCAACATTAACTTAGTTATGAGACGATATGAGGGTGACAAATATTGTTGACAAACCAGTGGTTTTGGCAGTTATTTTCATTCGTTTCATTTTATTTCAATTAATAAATCAAGTCTAAATTTTTAACTATCCCCGTTTGAAAAGGGCATATTAAAAAAACGATAGGAAGCATTGCTTTATATCAACTTCAGACGTGTCTGCGACATTTATGATCATCTGTATACACATAAAGGCGACAGTCGTTTACCGATGTTCAAATCTCGTAAATTGATTTGGAAGAGACAAATTAAGATAACAAACAATAACCGAGGGACAAAAAGAGCGACACCGGTTGCGTCGATGGGCTAAGTGTCTCTTGCTATGTATGCATCACTTATGCTAATTCACACTTAGTCAAAATGTCACAATCGGGAATAGAACAAACTCAATAAAATTACAGATCAGACTTATCTGATATTTAAAGATTTTAAGACCTCAAAACATGTCAGTAGTTAGTTGAGACATCGATCCATATCGGTCAACCAATTCGTGATAGTGACCGCAACACTTAAGTAATGTCGTTTTGTGCTAGCGTGTATTTATTCATGATTGAATAAATATTAATATGATTTTGTAATTTGCATTTTAGTTCTTATTTGAATTTACTTTAAAATAAAGATGATTTTATTCCTAATTCATATTTGTGTTTTCGTTTTCAAATAGATTAATTACGGATTGTAATTAATTATGAGTTGTACTATTCGTATTTTATATTCACAGACTTTGACGATTGACTAGTTTCGTCTTGATTGTTACTCACTTCTACTATTTTGATGGTCAGTGTTTTACGCTTGATTTGACCGCACACTTTCTGCTATTTCATTGGTTATATATCTTTTGGCGGTTTATTTCTATCGAAGTCTATAGTTATTTGTGGATTGATGTTCAAACCGAACAGACGTTTCATATATTTTCTTTAGTCTGTATTTGCTGTTTCATATTTTGTATTATTTGTATTGGAGGAATTCCACGATTATTTCAGGTCAGTTTGCTTACTTATCTCTTTAGATATTCTGTCTATATCTTATTTTCATCGTAATTTTATTACCGGATTAATCAATATTTCACGCACGAGTAACTTTCCATTTTAGCATGACTTCGTAGTAAGAATGTGTATCGTTTGACTGGTGAATGAATGTTGTAAATTATTTAAAAGGTTAACGTAACTTTTATAACAGGCACATTATTATTTTACATTTGAGTTACATAATTTAAGCCTGGAAATAAATAAGTGTAAAGATAAACGTAATAAATGGCGAATATTTGAGCAGAATGAGTCCGAGAGTAAATGAGTAAAATGTTAACTTGATAAATACTTTTCAGAGTCTTTATAACATTTTTGTCTCAGATTAATAGATTTTAAGTACTATAAAAGTCTGTGCATAGTAACTATAATTTAGTATTTGTTATACAGGTTTTATGACAGAGTTCTAGATCTGCATATGATGTAGTAATACGTTGAGGCATAACCTTTGTACCTCATACGAGGTAAGAATGAGTGTTTCAATTGTAGTTGCTTATTATTTTATTAGCTTAGTTATTTTGCTTTGTTTAGCTTAGCTTAGCTTTATTAGTTAGCTGCTTTTCGCTATTGGCTTTATTAATGCTTATTTTGCTTAGACTGTTTGTTTATAGTTTTAACGGCTAATTCGTATATTATAATGTTATTGCTAAATGAGAAACTATATTTCTATTTTGCTCTTTTGACAAGTTAAATTCTGTTTCGAATGTCACAGGAAGTAATATTTTGATAAGATAAGGTTTAATTGTGCATTTTGTTAATTTCATAAACTGTGACGTATTTTACAGTTAATTGGTTAATTTTTGTAAGTACACAGATTACGTAAATTTATCATATTGATATAGTACATGTTTTAAAAGAATTAGTTTATATACGTTGTTATTAAATGTGATATTATATTACAGGGTTTCATTTGATGCTTCACGATAATAAAAACTATCCAGAACCCTATATAGTCTACTATTTATTTACGCCCCAGATAGTGCGACTACAGTTTTAAGTCGGTCGTCCTCATAACTCTATTGGAGCACAGAAATGTCAATGTTTCCGTATAGTGTGAACATGCACGAGCGTAATGTATTAACTGAGATATGGGAACGCCGTAAGATTGAGCACTGCTGAGAAGCTGACAATTGGAAAGTTGAAATCATCTTGCGTATCATAAATTCTAGTTTGAAGTCGTCCATCTATGTCAATACCGAGGAAAAGATCAAAATATGAAGCAGAACTTCTATTTTCTGTAGAACCGTAATCTCAAATTCACAAGGATACATAAAATAGACAGGGATAGCAAAATAGCAGCTTTGTTTATCAAACGATAGTAAAATGGACATATGAATACACAAGAGAAGTTATTCTCGAAATAGATATTAGTGTTTCAGAATTTCTAATTAATGAAATATTATATTCACCAATGACATTGTCTTCCATATTAAAATTTAACATTTGCCTCGTTCATTTGTTATATTAGATAATTGATAAATGAATTTTACAATTTGAAGAAATTGTATGTGATCTACATTTTAATCTTGATGATATCATTTTTCTTACATTTTAATTCTTCTACTTTCAGTCCTGCCTTGACAAATTCATTTTTTTCTTTTTCACTCATTTTTCCCTTTGAAAGTCTCTCAATTTTCATACAAAAGCTATTTTGTTGTTTCCTGTTCAAAAACTCATCTATATGTTTCACCACATGTAGTATTTCCTGTAAGATGTTTTTGTCTTCATCTTTTGAAATTTCTTCTTTTGTTCTTTGAAATATGTGATTCCTTATCGAATTCATATGCTCAATGTCGTTGATAACCAAGACCCCTAGTTCATCTTGACTACGGACACAATCGGTCTTTTCAGAATGCAGAATTGTTCGCAATATCTTAAAAAGAAGATCAGTGTCACATTTCTTGTATCCGTCTGTCAATAAAGTTTTTAATGTTTCTTTCTGTCTGTCTGTAAGATCAGGTTTGATATTGCCAAGTATTTCATAAGCTAAAGTTGAAGGAATGTGTGCTTTATCTGCAATATATTTCAATATTTCTTTGAAGACGTTGGTTGAAATTTTTGACATTGTAGCAAATCGTTTCCTTTTCTCAGCAGCTGATGCTTTCGAATCCTTGTTTGAATCTTTTGACGCCGCATCCTTGTTTGAATCCTTTGATGCCGGATCCTTGATGGAATCTGTTGACGCCAGATCCTTGATGGAATCTTTTGATGTCGGATCCTTGAAGGAATCTATTGATGCCGGATCCTTGTTTGAATCTTTTGATGCCATGTTTCTGAAAAAAGCATTTCACATAATTTCAAATAATAATAGGTTTTTTTTCAGAATGGACACAAATATTAACAATAGGAAAGCAGATCCTCAGCCATTGAGGAGAATGTATATAAATTTGATAAAGTATTAACAAAAATAATGAATTCCAATGTAAATTAAAAGAAGGGAAGTCCATAAATCTGACACAATCAAACGCTCGACTATATCAACCAACGGAAAGAATTGAAAACAACTGTCTTGTTCCTGACTTGGTACAAAGGGTAGTAGTTTACCGATGTTCCAATCTCCTAAATCGATTCAAAACAAGAGAGCAAACAAAAACTGAGGGAATTGAATGAACTCCAACGGGCGTCACATGAGTAAGCATCGCCTGCTATGTATTCATCCTTCGCCATAGGAATACATCAGTCTCAATCGGAAATAGAAAACAATTGATAAAATAACACATTAGACGACTATTGTGGTATCTAAAGATCTCAGACTGCGAAAACATGTCTCTAGTAATTTGAGACACAGACATATCGTATCAGCGAACCAATTTGTCTTGGTGACCGTATATAACTTGTGTAGAATCGATTTCAGTCGTTCTTCCTTATAACTCTGTAGGAAACTTTTTTGTGTCAGAGGCATACCCCGGCCAAGGAATTCCGTAAAGTATGGACATGTGCATAAAGTAGCAATTGATATATCTAAACGGCATAAGATATGGCAGAAGGTATATAACTTTTGAGAAATGGGAAAGTTGAAATCATTACTTTTGTCATAGAGTATAGCTCTAAGTCGTCCATCTGTTTAAATATCGAAGAAGTGATCAAGATATAAAGCTGACCTTCTAGTTATTAATAGTATTGAGATGTAAGATTATTTCAAATGAATTTATTATCCTCAAAAGAGAGGCGAAAGATACCAAAGGATATTTATGTCGAAGAAAACTGACAACGCCATGACAAAAAAACGAAAAACGACGAAAAGACAAACAACAGTCCACAAACACAACATAAAAAACTATAAACTGAGCAACACGAACCCCACAAAAAACCGGGGATGATCCGCAAAATATTATTATAGAAGATTGCTATATATGAAAGTCATCTTGTTGTTTTCATCTTAACTACATAAAAAAACACATGCGTGATCAACAACTAAAATATACTTCCATTTTAAAACGATGCTAGTAAATGCAGTGAGGTGAGAGTTTTGCTCCATGTTGAAGGCCTTACTATCACTTTTAGACGAAGTAAACAGTCGCTGTTCATTTGCTTTTGGGTTTTTTTTGCATGTGCTTGGTGCGCTTTTGTGTCATGAATTAATACATCTCATCCTTTCTTTTCCATTAAACATTACATTCAAGTTCTATTACAACCACCAATCGTTCCTAATTCATGCCTTTATACCGAGTAAGTACGAAATATCACTGGGTTTTCACTTGTCATCAACATCACGACACGTTTCATTTGCTTACCTTTCCGGAGCATTGAATTTTTCACCTCGGTCTGTGTAATGTTTTGTGGACTGTTGTTTGTTCTTGTTTCATCTTTTCTTCATTTATTTAACATGATTTTTATTGTCACTTGTATTTAACTACTTATTATCATATAAACGCAAAAACATTCTTAATAAATGCTAAATCATGCATTTATTGGTAAGTAATGTAAGAGTCACATTTTTAATTGCTATTACTTTTCTCACAATAGTGTCATGCAAGCAACGTCTCGTATAGATTAATCATGTTATAAAGTGCTGAGATATTCAATACCACAAATTTATGACATTGATATCAAAATCATTTTCACGAAATTCATTGACTCCTTTAAGATTCACATTCCTACTCCTACAAAACTCACTTCCTCAACCAAAGGCAAATTACGTTGTCATGATTGACAATTTTAAATTCAGGAGAGGATGTTTTGTGATATTTAGGACAAAAACCTGTAAACATGCTAGTGAAATATAAATATTACACCTGTTTTGTGCACGTCCTACAAGCTCAGTTAAAATAATCCAGTTAGTCCACACTCAAGGTGAGCTACACGAGACCACATATTTGAAAAACATGGATAGCCAATTCTTTAAAGAAACATAAAAACTCTGAGCTATTTAATTGAAGACATCCACCAAAGAGGTTCCTACATTGGGACAGACATATTAACAAATGGCGAAATTTAATAATTCTTTGAATAATCTGCCCTCATTTTAAAAATGCATGTTCCATGTTAAAATTTTGAACATTTTTGTTGAATATTAATGGTGTTTTGGAGGACAAGTATTTAATCCCTCTTACAAGAAGTTATGACATGAATAACGGTTGGAATGTAACTCAATAAAGTAAACGTTATTAATGTATCGTATCAGGTTAGCTGAAATGAAAAAAGATAATGAATACGATATATAAGCTACCATTAATTAGAGGCAACAGTAGTTTACCATTGTTCAAATCACACAAATCCATTTAGAAGATACAAATTAATGTAAAAAAACAAACAAAATTGCATGATTAAAACATAACCCCAAAAAGGAGCGAGATCGAATGAGTCGTCGGTGAGCGTCTCCTGTTATGCATGAATCAACCGCCATGCGAATCGACACAATTGGTCAAATAGTCACAATCAAGAATAGTACACAGTCGGCTATAAATTGTTAAATTTATGTAGTGTCGATTTCAGTCGTTCTCCTTAATAACTTTGTTGGAGCAGTTGTTGTGTCAGGAGCACATGCCGTTAAGTCCGTGTAGCGTCAACAATCACGAGCGCAATGTATCAATTGAGATAAGCCATACGATGTGGCATATGGTATATTACTACTGAAAAATGAGAAGTTGACAATTTGAAAGTATAAAAATCATCGTCATTGAGTCTAGTTTGAAGTTGTCGATCTGTGTAAATGTCGAGGAAAAGATCAAGATACAAAGCAGGCCTTCTACTTTCAGTAGCATCCTTAATCTTAAGTTCACTATTATATATGGGACAAAAGCACTCACTGAAATGTTAGTTATTGAGTGACAGAACATCATCAATATATCTGAAAGTAAAACTAAAGAACCTTGCAAGCTGCTTTTTCTTTTTGTCTTTTGAAAGATTGGAAACTGTCTATATTTGTTTTTCTCTCTGTGTAGTTTAGAGATCTACTGTGGAAAAAGCAAACACAATAGTAGGCAAACTTTGTCAATTCAAAAATGCGTTTCAAATACACCAAAACGGTATACTTGTATTCGACTTTCATTCCATAGCTGACTAATACTTGATAGTATTGAAATCAATAATCAATAACTTTAATACTGACAGAAATGTAAAAATCAATAACTCTAATACTGTTTGTTAATCTGGAAATCAAAATACAAGAACTAATAATAAAAATAAGAATTCAAACATTCTGAAAAATGCACTGCTGTGTTGATTAGCTTTTATTTTGTATTCTGATTAGAACTATTCAAACGGCTTGTACACCAGAGGATCCATTGCGGTAGCTAGTTATATTATGTAACTTCTTTGAATAGAAATAGAATCCCCTTTCTACAAAAATATTGAAATGTACAAATAGGGTTGCACTAAGTTATAAAATGCTCTTATTGTTGATTGGTTAATTAAATAGGATGATTAAAATTTCAGCTCGTAAATGTTAAGCATTGAAATCACCACAATATTTAAATAGAAAAATTTCACACACTAAGCAGTCAATACGTTGTTTTTATAATATATTTCCTGCATTTTCAGCTTACTTATGTGTATAGCTTTTAACCGGTTTTGCTTGGATTTAAAGTTAATGTTTCCATTTAACATGTACTAAACTCCAGCTATAGATTCTACAAAATAATTCCAGACTAGGCAAAATAATTCAAGTTTGGTAATAGCAGTAATTAGAAAAGAAAATCGGTAAATTCACAGATCACACGAATTTTCTAGTGTCTTAACTGCGAAATCTTCTATCTTAGATTGAGACACATCACATTGGTCAGAGCCAATTCGTGATTGTGAACGTAAACATTGATTTTGAATTCTTCTTAGTAATTCTTCTGTAGGTGTTTTTGCGTAAGACTCCCTGCTTACGAATAACGTATTATGTAAATATGCACATGCGTTTCAAATTAGATATATAAAGGTCATACCATGGGGCAGAAGGTTTGTGAAATAATTATAAATTAAGGAATATACCCCTCCCCCCCCCTTTCGTGCAAAGCTCTGATTCCTTGTCCGGATTTGGCTTTACTCTATGCCCTTTTTGGTTTGATCCGTTCTTCAATATTTGTATTAGATTTTGGATTTTCAAATCTTTTGGCCTCGAGCATTACTGAAGAGACCTTAATTGTCTAAATGCGCATCTGGTGCATTAAAACTTGCACCTTTTATGTTTTTACTACCACTGGGTCTATACCTCTGCTGTTTGACTGTTAGTCCCCGAGGATATCACCAGCCCAGTAGCAAGTACTTCGATACTGGCATGAAAACACGGATATTGTTTGATTAAAACTTGCTGTTATCAAATTATGAAATAATTTTAAATTAAGGAGTGTATCGCCCTCCTGCAAAGCTCTGATTCCTTGTCCGGATTTGGCTATACTTTATGTGTTTAATGGTTTGATCTGCTCTTCAACATTGTATTACATTTTGGATATTCAAATAGTTTGGCCTAAAGCATCACTGAAGAAACATTATTGTCAAAATGTGCATCGGGTACCGTTTATGTTATTACTAGTTTGAAAATCCTGGATCCGCCAATGAATTATCTACCCTTTACACAATTATTCCTCTACCTTTGTAACGTTTAGAAGACGCGTTTTTTCAGACTATCGACAATCAACTGTGCCACTCTTCTTTCTGACATCATAAAGAAACTTCCTTTAATCTTTAATTTTGACATTCCGCTATGTAGATGATGTCATGTCAGAGAATAATTCAAAGTTTTATCTGTCTATCTTACAAATAGTTCTCTAGATGAATGGCAAAATGCTAAAATTGATCAAAAATCGTCATTTAATAGCAATACATCCAATCAGTAGTGAATACA